GCGGTTAAACAATTACGGATTACACTTTATATTCGAGATTAGTTTTAAAATATGGCCATCAACGATAGGGACAACGTATTTCTTTGTATTTACAATAATACTGCTGTTAAACAATTACGGATTATTATTGTAAATACAAAGAAATACCTTGTCCCTATCGTTGATGGCCATATTTTAAAACTAATCTCGAATATACAGTGTGGTCACTGTGATATAACTGGTGGATTAGAAATATCATTAACTAACTACCTCCGGCGAATATTTTTAGACATAATATGTTCATGTAAAGGACACATTTTATGTTGTTTCTATATGAAATTTGATCGAAGTTAATACTTATAATAAATGTCATGCAACGTGGTTTAATCATTCACTTTATTAGTAATTTCGATGCATTATGCTTGCCTTAAAGTTATGGTTAGATTTTCTTAAGACCTAATCTTTCTTCAGTCAAACTTTTTTTAATTTTAATTGAATTTCGTAATAGGAGAAAATAGGCTATGAGTGACCTTGCGACCATTTTCAACCTTACTAATAGTTTATTTGTTTTAGGATATCGATTATGTTTACGATAACAAAGTAGGATTTTCCTTTTCGATTTTAGATCCAACTCAATGTGGATTTTATATGTGCACTTTTACGAGAGACAATGCTACTCTCGATTTATTAGTTAATGTAGAATTACGAGATTGTAAGTACAAGTTGAAAAATGTGGTGTCGGTCTCTTTCTTTGGTACTCATGCATGTGTAAATTTCTTTGTAATTCTGTTTCCTCTATCTCATTGTTTTCCATTTTGTGTTAACTCTCTTTTGTGTCCTTTTAATATATGTTTAGAATAATGAGTTCTCTACGTTAAGAGCTGTGAAGTACTATAAAATTTCAATATATTATTTTATTAGCAATCCATAAATTATATATATAAATAAGATATTTTAAAGATTTTATTGGTTTATTTTTAATTATTTTTCAATAATGATATTTATAGTTATAACATGTAGAGTTAGAATACATTTCCGCTTGAAACAGAAAGTTACCTATTCGTTCGAAGTGCACACAAATGTTTTACTACAGTTCACATTGTTTTAGGTTCAAATAATTATAAAAAAGTAGTTAAAAATGAAAAAATGCATTTTCCTAGTGTTTTTTTGTGTTCGTCAACGTGTTTGAGTGAGTTTTTTATGTTTTTGTGTTTTCATAAATTTTTATTTTTTTTATTATTATGTATGACTGTGTCTTCTTGTTCATATTTTTCTTTTATATCACACCTTGTGTTTGTTTTTTAAAAATGTGTTTTAAGTTTGTGTTTTTTTTTATTTTAGTTTTTGTCTTTTTTTTGGGTAAAATATTTATTAGAGACTTGTTAATTTGTATTGCTCTTTTATTTTTCATTTTCTCTGTTTTCCAACAAATAAACATTCTAAATTTTTTCAAAATTTTGCCCCTCCCAATAGAATCGTGTAACGACGCCCATGTGTATATGCATATTAAAAGCCCACGGTTCGTAAACAACACGGTGGCCTCATCACGGTGTCGTACATTAGTTTTTTTTTAAAAATCCAATATTTTATTATTATTATTTAGTGGTGTTAATATTTTTATTTTTAAACTTTGTTCTGCTGTTAGAGTTTTTATAATGTCAGTAGTTTTATTTTTTGAAAGACAAATTAATTATTTTTTATTTGAATTATAAAGAGAAATATTATTATGTGAATGTTTTATTTTAAACATTTTGGATTAGGGTACGGCATCCGAGCTGAATTTGGATCACACTTTGTTAATATCCCGACATATTTTGAAATTTTGGCAAGCCTAGAGCTAGCCGTATTGCTGCTGTTGCCAAACAATTTTTAATTTTTACACTCAAAAATCGTTAGAAGAAATAAAGGAGCTGGTCCTAAACTGAAATTAAAGGCTAATGGTAAGATTTTCAAGTATTATTCTGAAAATATCATTCACTATTATTAAATTAATTGCAGTATTGTCCTCCCTACATTTAAAAGCAGACGAGATGGTTTCTTACAAGCATTAAACACAAGAAGAGCAAGAAAAGACAGAGTACTTTACTTAAAGAACCTACATGATTGATAAAAAACGGGGTTTCTATAAGAAATTTTTAGTAAATAGTTACAAATAATTTAATAAAAGAAAACAAGGGTCCCTTGGATTTCAGAAGAAACATACAATGTATATTTATATCGGAAATAAAAAAAATATATTTTGTCAGTTTCGAGAATGTATGAACAGTATAATTTACTTAAAAAAAAAAACAATATAACAACAACAACCCAGTTTTATTATAAATCTATAAATATAGATACCAAATTAGAGAAAAATAGTTTTATACATACAATACACAAAGGAGATTAAGGAGGTTGCTCTTATGACAATGACACGACTCCGTACGGTTGGTATAGATTCAGATGTAGAATATGATGAGGCGAGACGTCGCTTTTGAAAGGATACGCCTTCACTGCTGTAAGCGAACATGGACGCCATCTCACCGATAGATATCTTCCATAAGCCACATAAAATTATAGTAGAACAAATAGAAGAGTCGAAAGAGCAGGTACAAATTATATTTGCAACGACGGTTCTAAAACAAAACTTAAACCTAAACATAAAATGGGCTGTGTGCAAAATTGTCAGTGTAGTTTAAACTAAGCTCACTAGGATTCTCACAGCAGCAAAAGAAGTTACCAGAAACAATATCACTGGAGGGAACATGCTCATCTATACAGATAGCAGACAAGCTTTACTTAACCTGGAAAGACCACAAATGTACTCAGGGTTAGTACTAGAATGTCATGAAACTTTGGCCGAAGTATCCATCAACAATGTTGTCATCTTAGATGGATCAAAGATCACGACACATCGGAAGGTAACCATCTTACTGATTCACTAGCCAAGAAGACAACCAACCACATACTGTTTTGAGCCTTGCCATTCCTGTGGGCTGACAGCATCGGTAGTGACAAAACCAATTAAAAAACATTCCTTGTGAAATTCCATGATATATAGGATAAATCAATAGGGTGCAGAGTTGCTAGGGAGATTTTAAGGAATACCATAGCAAATAAATACTTCACTATGCCTAGAGAGAATATGCACCTAATAACAGGCATTCTAACTGGTCATTGCCAAGTACGGAAGCATCTCCATACCATGGGGCTGTTAGAATTTGCACTCTGTAGGAGGTGCGAACAAGAACATGATATCTTCGAGCATATCCTCTACAATTGCCCGATGCTCCCATTTATTAGAGGATTTGTGTTTAGCAAGTATTGGTTAACATCGGCTGACATAAGAGAAACAACGTTATCAACTATATAAATCTGTAGGCTGGCTCACGAGCTAGGAGAGGCCTATCAACTTACGTGGCTGCACAATGAGCTTAGTGAGTCCTAAGTACCCTCCACACGTTACATGTTGGTATATTTTTTGGATATCTAGCAATACTTACTTAATGATTTTGATACCGTAATAGCTCCCCTATTGTCCATAAAGTTATTAACGTAACTATGAACTATAAGATTAAATAAAAAACTTAAAAATTGTATTAGTTTAATTTTATAAAATTTCCATGATTTTAAAATGTCTTGCATGCTGACATTCTGCTTGTTTATAGTGGTGGCTTTAAAAAAAATATATACAGGGTGTTTCCGAACTTGGCGTCCAAATTTGTAGGGGTGGTAGTTCGCATAATTTGAGACCGATTCGCAGATTTCATTTTTCCAAAATATTTAAAATAAAAATAATTAAAAATTAATTAAAAATTGTGAACAGGTACGGTCCTGCACAGCGATAAGATCGCCTCGACTCACGCACGCTATGCTTAGAATCGACAAAATTGCAAATCGCACCTGTTTTTGAGGAATATTGCGCTACGCGCTCAGGGTAGGACCTGCTCTTTGATTTTTTTTGTAATGGCTCTATTTTGTTTATTATAATTTTTTAGAAAAATGAAATCTGCCAATCGCTCTCAAATTATGCGAACTACCACCCCTACAAATTTGGACGCCAAGTTCGGAAACACCCTGTATACAGGGTGTCCCGAAATTAGACGGTCATGTTTTAACAGCGTACTCTACATCATAAAATAGGAATAAAAGTTTATATAAACATAGGTCCGAAAACGTTTTGTTTTTGAGATACAGGGTGTTAAAAGTGAAGTCCTGATGACACATTTTTGTAAATATTTTCTAAACTTTGAAAGATAACTAAGTGAAATTTGATACAAATGCTAAACTTTTTACGCTCTATTTAATGGAGAGAAGTTTTTTTGTAGACCGTATTTAAAATTTTTGACTACAAAATTTTGAAAACCAATATTTTCTTTATAATAAAGCTACTTTTGTTATATCTCGCTAGGACGCATCATTTTCAAGAGAAAAGCATTTGAAAATGTCATAAGTTAATGTTATCTTATTCGAAAGTGTAGTAGGCCTGTGGAATCAGAAATTTTATTTTTTTTAACTTTGGAAAACCGGTGACTAAAGAAATTTTAGAAAATATTTACAAAAATGTGCCATCAGGACTTCACTTGTACCACCCTGTATATCGAAAACGAAACGTTTTCGGACCTATGTTTATACGAACTTTTACTTCTATTTTAGGAAATAGATTACGCTATTAAAATATGACCGTCTAATTTCGGGACACCTTGTATACAGGTACGGAAATCTATACACAGACCATCTATTTTACAATAAATTGGACAAGGTATAATAGGACCATATGTAGAACAAACTAAGACCGCTTGTCAGCGCGGAGCGCCCTGGCGCACAATATTTACTACTTCCACCTCTCTCTTCCACTTGTGTTCGTCTCTATTATATTTGGCTTAGATGGTCCGCATTTAAATGTCCGTATCTTTAAACATAAATATTCTGCTTTGTTGCTTTAATCTCATTGCTTAGGTACATTAAATTGCTTTTATTTTGCAAATATAAATTATTATTTTATATTGACTAAACTAATTTAAAATTTGATCGTTTTTTAGCTTCTACATCCTATATACCGGCACCAAGAGTTATTGATGAAAATGAAGGTCATACAAATTTAGGCGACAATATTACATTAAAATGTAATTTACAGTTTACGACTAGCGTTGTAATATTTTCATGGGTTACACCTACCGGGATATTTAATGTAAGTATAACTATTGATTATTGTAATAAAAAACAACAAAAGAATTACTGGTTAAATTATAAGTCATTCTAGAAATAATAATTGAAAAATATATAAAGAGATCCTAAAATTTAACCACAAGTTTAACACATTGGAAACTGGTTTTTAATAACCTTTCCATGTCGCTTTTTGATTAGGATTTGTAAATTATTTGAAATTCAAAGAGTATGTAAAAATATTTTGGCTTTTTACGCCTTAAAACTGAGCATGGATAAATATGTATACCTTTAACCCTTTAAACCTGTCTATGTAAAAATATTTAGTCACTTTAGCCATTGAACCTGCACATGTAAAAATATTTGTACCTTAACCCCTTCAACCTGCCTATTTAAAAATAATATTTGAGCCCTTTCCCAGATAGCACAGGACGTCCCATGGACGTCCTGATTTGGTCCCTTGTTGGTCCGGTTGGTCCCGGACCTAAATAGGACGTCCACTGGACTTCCGATTACAGTTAACACTAGGACGTCCTTAGAAGGACGTCATCTGGACGTCCTATTTTGGTCCCGTTTCGACAAAGCGTTTAGTTTTCGGTCCGAGTCCGGGACGTTAATGGGACGTCCAAGGGACGTCTATGGGACTTTCTATGCACTAGCATCGTTGGTCTTTGAATCGATAACTTGAAATTCAACGTTTTGATTTTGCAAGAGTATGAGGACAGAAAACCTAACCTATCATTTATTTTCAAATGAACAACAATAGCTACAATTTTCGGCATTCAATAATTAACTTAAATAAGTGAGTTAGATTAACGAAGAAAAAAGAAGGTTATATAGTGTTATTTGTTATTTTTTTGATGCTGGTGGTAAAGTGGTTATAAAGTGAAGTGAGTGTTTTGTGTTGATGTGAGAATAAGTGATGTGTATTGTCGGTAGCCGCTGGCGGAAAGAAAATACCTTAATGGCGGAAAGTTGGAACAAAACTAATTTGGACAAAATTATAATACTCAGTTTTGTCGACACAAGCTATAAGTAGGACCCAAGGTTTCATCTTGCCAGCACTGTGTGTTAAATTTAATTCATTCCTGTTTTTTTTTTTGTAAACTGAAAACGTTTAACTCTAGCTAGGTTTTTTAGGATAAAAGTTGTTAAATAAAGCTCTTTTATTGTTAACATTTTTGTTATTATTACCCTTTATGGATTATGGTCAAATATCGTCCCTCGGACGTCTGATTTACGTCCCTAGGACGTCCCGCAAAGGTCCCTATGACGTCCTTTTGGGATGTCCCAGGGACGTCCCTAAGGGACGTCCCTAAGATGGACAGAAACGGGACATTAGGACGTCCATGGGACGTCCGATTGACGTCCCGGTACCAAAATAGGACGTCCCTCGGACGTCCTTTATGTCCCTAAAGGACGTCTTTTAGACGTCCATAAGACGTCCGTGTGCTATGTGGGTTACCTTTTTAATCCCAATATCAAATTCTAATACGAGTTCCATTCTGGAGTACGTTATTCGCGTACGATCCAAAATTATTTCAACTTAAAATAATTATTTTATCACAATAAATAATCACTTTAATAAAATCTTTTAAAAGACTTTTAAAAAACTTTAAATAATTTATTTGACGTTTGAATGACAACAGTATAGAAAAAAATGTATTTGTTGTAAGAGTTGACAAGCATGCTTATCTAGTGAAATCAGTATTTTAAAATCAAGGGGGCTCTAAAACGTTGAGAAAAGTGTTAAAAAGTGGAAAAGAATGCAATGCTGAGACTCCATAGGCAGGAACCCTCAAACATCTGATAAACTTTCATTACACACTGTCATTTAATTTTACTATATTTTAAGATACTAGGCAAAGAGTAGGATCTAGCTATAGTTAACTTAAAAATATTTAGCGTACCTATCGGCTTGTAACCTTTTACTTTTTACATCCATTTTCTTCCACATTTCATTTGGATCTTTTTTTTTGTCTACTTTTATGTCTATTTTCCTAATCCCTTTGAGCCCCATTTGATGATATATCAAGTTGAAATACTGTACAAACTAATTTTCTCTTTTACACATATGTCTCAAATATATACATTTAAATAAAATATTTACTTATAGCCTTCCAGAATGAAACAAACGGATGAAGAAAAAAGTTCAGAATTAACTGTATATAACACAACATTTAATGACAGTGGAGTATACATTTGTGAAGTATCAGATCACCAACAACATCATGTATCCAGAAATATAAGTATTAAAATTTATGGTGAGTATTAGGTAATCATTTCTTTTAAAAAATACGGTTAATCTACATTTATATCGTATTGAGGGTAAGAAGACATTCCACTGGATTTTCTTTTTTTGTAAATAGCTAAATCAAAGTCTTGAAAGAGACATATTTTAAAGATCTATAATATGTCAATAATAGTTTACCATGAGTCCAGAAGTTTGGTACATTCGGGGGTATACGAACTAGACATTTCTCACACATATACATAAAATAGGTAAGGCCTAGCCGAGTAAGTTCCCATCCTGTAAAATTGGATCGAAACCTGCTAGACCCATTCCGTCTACCTCTGCAAGGTCCTCAAGATCAAGAGCAATTGATTTATATGCCTTGCCTTCTAAGAGGGCATATTATCGTCATTTAAACAGGGCGTTGCTGAAGGCTTACCTCTGTTACATCGTTTATTTGTGTATCTTGTGTATGCGCATTCTGTTGTGTCCAGTTCACTTAGTCTAGGGCGACCTTCTCTAACCAAGCTGATAGTCTGTTATACAGTCTTTGTCTGTTTTGCGTTTGTCAGAATACTGAAAGAGAATGCTGAAAGAAAATATTGAGAAGTCCTAGTTTGTACTTGCGAATGTTCAGTCACTCTCCAACTCTCCACCATAGTCCAGCAGTCGTGGCCAGGCCAATCGTCTCTTATGTATTTGGTAAGTTCACTTAGGTCTACGTTGGAATGAAGTTTCAGATTCTCAAATGTATCTGGGTCATTCTCCATAAAACGTCAAATTGGATGTCCCACCTACTTTACAATAATTAAAAACTAACTATTCGTATTATAAAAAGTATAAATAGGAGAACAAAGAAGTTATTTATTACAAGCGAAAATTATTTTATTAAAAAATTTAATAATATTGCGTTTTTTGGGATAAATAACGTTATCAAATCATACTCCGTTATCAGTCCCTACCTTGAGTTGAAAAACTAAACGTATCACTAAATCCTTTGACATTTACATTTTGCTTTTGTTTATTAGTTTTATATTGAGCGCCAACTCCGTTATCGCCATTAAAAATTCAAAAACATACACTAGAGGGCGCATATGCATTTCAATTTACTTCTGGGATAGCTTCGAACTGTTTTAGTATCTATCTGATCACCAAAGGCGACGGTCACTCCATCGGACATATTAAAATTCGCAATCAAGTAGGTTCAAGTGGTTTTCGTTCAACCTAAAAGATCAACGCCGTTATCACTTTTTAAAGGTAAGTCAAATGTTTAATTAACAAGACATTATTATAATTAACTTCCTAATATAATAATCTTGGGTGTGGGACACGATCAAATTTTTAATTGATTATTTTCAAGAAATAAACAACAAAAATACACCTGTTCATCAACTCCGTTATGTCCATTCCGTTATTATTTGCGATAACGGAGATGATGGTGGTGATCACGGAGTTGATCCAATAATACCTTACCTACTTCTTTCTGTATTTTAATAATTTATTAGTTTAATTTCTTTCAGGCCGAATAATGGCCCCTATAAAGAAACAAAAAGACAAGGTTACTGATGAATGGAGCGAAAAGGTAAAGCTGAATATGAGGCGGATGAGGGAGCGTATTCGGAACAATCCCGAAATGTATGAAAAGTACAAAAGGAAAAAACGGGAAAGGTACTATAAACGGAAACAAGAGGGAAAAATAAAGCTAATCGAGGATTCAACTGAAAGAGAAAAAATAAGTAAGCGCAAACTATGGAGGGAGAGTTCCAAGAAGCATCGTGAGGGACGTAGAATAATTCAGAATATTATTAAAGCCGACACACCTCCACCTAGTCCAGTACCGCCAGGAGAAGGAGAAGGAAATAACCAAGTTCACTACAATCCAGGAACAAGCAGACAATTTCAACAGGGGAAAAAGCAATCTAGAAAACATAAAAGAGAACTGTTGAAGAAAATTGAAAAATTACAAAAAAAATAATGAAGCACTTAAAAAAAAGGTGGAGAAATATAAAAAACGTGCACACAGAGTTAATAAAAAGCACAAGGTTACCGATCCGGATAGTCCTGGTGCCAAAGTTTATGAATTGTTAAAAAATCCTAACGTTAAACAGGAAGAAATAAAGAAGAAATTACTCTTGGGGGAAGTAATTACAAAACAAGTTCAAGAAAATTTGCAAGGGGAGCAGTCGTTAGAAGGAAAAAGAAAAGTTTTAAAAGCAGTATCTGAAAGACTTATGAAAAAATACAGGTTTCTTAATGTTTTATCAACAATGTCTCCAAAATTATGTAAGTCGAAGATATTACTGAAGAAGAGAAAACTTATTAAGTCTACACTGCGAAAAACTATTCAAGCGTTTTTAGAAAGAGATGAAAATAGCCGGATGATGCCAGGAAAAAAAGATACCATAACTAGATTTAATTGCAAAAAACAAAAAAGGTATTTGAACGACTCCTTACAAATTATCCATGACAAGTTTATAAAAGCATATCCACATTATGAAAAGTTAAGCTATCCCGAATTCTGTAAAAATAGACCATTTTGGGTTCATATACCTAATGCGCGAATTAGAGAAACATGTCTTTGCATGCAGCATGAAAATATGTTACTAATCGTCAGTAAATTAAGATTACTGCATATCATAAACGAGTCTTCTCCGGATCAATTATGCAAGAAGCTTTGTTGTTGCGATGGGCTTCTAGGAGAAAAGTGTTTAGATCGCACATGTGAAGGTTGTAAAGACAGATAAATCAATGTGAACGACTTTAATGAAGAAGAGGATATTACTTACAAGATATGGAAAACGCAGAAAGTCAAAATAGTTGTAAAAGGAAAAGAAAAAGAATGCCAAAAAACAATTAAAGAGGAGATAAGATCTACAAAGGGTTTATTAATGGAAAAGCTCAAAAAAAACCTTCCCAAGTATATGCTACACTTAAGAAATATAATACATCAATATCGTGCTCTTGATGATGTGAAAAAAAATCTGTCTGTCAACGAAATATTGATACATCTTGATTTTTCGGAGAATTATAATTGTAAATATGGACAGGAAGTCCAGTCAGCCCATTTCGGTGGCTCCAAGCCGCAAATTTCTCTCCACACTGTTATCGTTTACAAGGGAACCATCGAAGACGATTTACCGGATCACAACAATTACTGCACAATTTCAAAAAATTTACGTCATGACCCTTCAGCCATATGCGCACATCTGGAACCAATTTTTAAAAAAATTAAATCGCAAGTTCCAGAAATCAAAGTAGCTCATTTTCTTAGCAATGGCCCGACGACACAATATAAGAACAAGAAAATGTTTAATTTCATTGCTACTTATATTGCACAAACTTTGGATGTGGATCAGATTGAGTGGCACTATAGCGAGAGCGGTCATGGAAAAGGTGCCCCTAATGGGATTGGGGGCTGCGTTAAAAGGACAGCCGATAAGTGTGTAGCACACGGGAAAGATGTATCGACGTTTGATGAATTACTGTTGATTTTGAAAAAACACTGTAAAAATATTAACATAATCAGTATTGACGAAGAAAGTATCTTAGAATTCGATACAAAAATACCAGAAAATTTACATGCATTCAAAGGCACAATGCAAATCCGACAAGTATGCTGGTATAAAGATGTTCCTTATACTTTGTATTTTCGAAATCTCAGTTGCTTATCATGCGTAGGAGCTTGTGAACATTATAACCTCGGGTCGCTTGAACTCCAAAATAACGAAGATACGGAATTTGAAAAAACAGCTTCCAGTAAATTACGTTATTCGGATGTATATTCTTCATCTTCGAGTAATAATGAAAACAAAGAAAATTAAATTATAACCAGGCAGAAGTACGAGATAGCTGACGGAAAATTTGTGGTAGTCCAGTTTAGCGGTAGGAAAAGGAAAAGGCATTACATCGGCAAAATTTTATCAGAAGCGAAAAACGATGAAGTTGTAAGTTTTCTAAGAAGAAAGAACAAAATTAAGTTTGTTTTTCTGGCTGAAAAAGACGTACATCCAGTTGCAAAAGATGATGTTATACTCGTTCTGAAAAATCCTGAAGAAAGAAGGAACCAGTACTTTTTCAACTTCGAAGAAATCGAAGCCATTGAAAATTTAGATTAATATAGCGACTTCTGACATCATCAGCTTGAAGTTTTTATTGTTTTTGAGATTGGTTCTGTTTTTATTTTGTTTTGTGTAGTAGCTAGTGTACATTATCAATGTTTTATTTTCCTAGCTTTGAAAAAGAAACCACAGCCATTACCATTTTGATTTTTTATATTTTATCTTTTGTTTAGTGTAGTGTACACAACCGTGTTCCCGTAAAGAATTGTTAATGTTTTATATTCTCAGTTTTTTAATAAAACTATTTTAAAGACTGAATAGTTCTCATTTTCATCAACTCCGTTATATCTACATCATTACCGTAATCACATGTTTTTCCAAGATTGCTAAAAATATCTAAAAACAAAAAATTAAGCTTAACCATCTACTTTGCTTGAAAGTATTTTGTTTTAGTAACATTTTGTTAATATTTATGATTAACTTTAAAAAAATATATATATTAAAAAAAATTAGAGTAAAAAGTAACGTTTTATGGAGAATGACCCATCTGCGGCTTTCCTGTGAATTAGATCTAGAACCCTGGTGGATTCCAGATCCCTAAATATGAGCAACACACCTTGACTTTTCTCGGCGTTGATTGTGATCGTCCACCATTCTTTTGTTATACCTGAATAAAAAAAGGTCTTCACCTTACATTTTTTTATAAATCCAGTTCCTCCTTTTTATTTATGGCTTTAAATATTAAAAAGCCTGGCATTTGCATAAAAAGAATGGCATTTTTGTCAAAAACGGGATATTTTCTTACTATGGCGTTGAGCGTACAAGCAATTCAAAAAGCTTGGAAAATACGCCTAAAGCGTGACGTCTGGCAACCCTAGTGATGACCCCTGCTTCCGGAGTTCTTGGCCTAGATAGAACGTGTTTCGTCTTGATCTTGAATGGTTGAATGGTTTGTATCGAAAACAATTTGTTTCGAAGTCATAGTAATGCATGTACCACAGCAATAATACAACACTGTAACTTAATAATAACAAAATTATGTAGTCAACTCAATTGATCACGTAATATAGGAATTATATTCTCACGTACTATGCATTACTTTGCCCAAGTATAAAATAATTTATAAACCGCTTTATTAGGTCAAAATAAAATATTCAACTCGCGTACAGATGCAATAGTCCATGGCTCGTGTTGCAAATGTTATCCTCGAGGGTAATAACCGTAATTATGTTGAATAATATACCATTCATTTATAGATGAGGAGGAACATATTATTACTATGAGAGAATTAACGGACCAATATTACTATGAAGCTAAAGCAGGACAAGACTCAATAATATGGAGTGTAGATATTTGGGGACACCCCAAACCTTCTTTTTATTGGTAAGTTACGTTATAATTAGCTATAACAATGCATCGGAATCTTTAATGCTATAAAATGAAAACGCTCTGGCAACATTGTCAATAACTGCTGTTGGCATTGTGCTAAATTCGGCATAAGGGCCTAAATAAATTATATAAAAAATAATTTCTAACTATAACCACAACATGGTAGTGGGGTGCCCACATTTTAAAGTCGTTTTTGAAAACTTAATAAGATCTTTATTAAGACCCAATTCAACTTTTTTCTTAGGTTAGAAAACGATTTTTCATTCGAAGTAATACAAGACGTCACTTTAAATGTCTATCTCTTAATGTCAACAAATACGTATTTCTTTCGAGGAAAGTTAAAATATTCAACAGTTTCATTACGGTATTTTAGGATAGATAACAGAAATGACTCAATTCCAGAAGAAAAAGGAAAAAAATATGAAGTTTCTAGAGGAAAATCAGATATTGGACAAAACCATGAAGTCATAACATTAAAAATAAAGAACATAGATTTGATCCGAGACTTTGGTTACTATTCATTAGTTGGAACAAACCATTTCATGGAAAAACGTTTAGAGTTTTTCCTAAATGTTACAGGTATGTATTCTATAGTAACTTACTTCACTGAGCAATAATTACCAATTCACCAACAATACTCACCAATTATTACCCTAGAGATGTAGAGCTTGTAATGATTCCTTCCTGAATTTTAGGCTATTTTGTCGATTTTACTCAAATTTTAATAATATTTAGAAAGTAAATTACCCCATCTAACCTAAATTTAATGCTAAACTGTTAGTTGAAAGAACAATGCCAGTCTGAAAAAAATATATTTTTATTTCTTTATTCTGAACATTACCAGGAACAGTTTTGAACTTATTTGTAAATATTGTCGTGCGAGCCATTTTTGACCAGTCAGGACCTGCTCTATGTTTTCATTATCGCCGTTCACCTACGTGAAATTTCCATAAATTGCCAGACGCGATAGCGATACATGGTCTAGTAAATTCGAGAGCGTCTAGTCTTCGAGACAGGTCTGGAACGCCCAATTTTTGTTGTATTGAGTCTAAATAAATTGACTTAGTAAATAAATGTTTTTTTAGTGAACATGTATTCAAAAAACAAACTGTTTAAATAAATGTTACAATATTAACTATTTATCCTGCAAAGTCTTAACACTGAAGTATCTAAGCAGAGACAACCCAGCGAGACGTGTAACTCAATGTATTTTTTTGTTCGGTAAAAGTTGTTTGGGCGATTGTAACCACAACCAGTCTATGATGGCACCACTAGTAAATAGCGGGAAAATTAAAAATGCTGTAGGCCGGGAAATTCAAACATGGATTCAGAAATAAATAGTTTTTCTATACAAATTTACAGGAGAAACAAAAACTATTGTTTCACTGTATATTAAAAAATATAAAAGCTTCCAATAACATCCAATTTTTTATCATATAAATAATCATTTTAATAAAAGAAGTTTTAATCAGTTTAACATAAGGAGTAAACATAGTTTTTATTACTCTTGTAAATTTCGATAAAAAAATTTAAAAATTCTATTGATTATTAAATACATAAACTTGGAAAAATAATACACCAAACTCTTTTTCTATAAATTATATTTTTGTAAAGTACAAAAAAACAAACTACAATTGCTACGTTTAGAAAGTACCTCGTATAATTTTGTGACAAATTACAAAGAAAGTCACAGTTGTTATATATTGGAAGAAAAGGAAGTAACAATTTATTTAATAAAATTACAAATAAATTATTAATCAAAGGTAACAAATATTTAAAATAAATTATAAAAATTAAACAACTTTTCTTTGTAGCAGCGCCTAGGTTTAAGAAAACCTGGATGTGCCTATTTTTATTCCTACTTATAATATATTTAAAAAATAATGTAACAAATATTTTATAAATTATAGAGTATGTTATGACTGTTTATTTTAATAGAAACCATGGAAACGAAACAAACACACACATACACTCACCCAAATATATAAAGCCCGAGTCAATAAGTTCCCATCCTGTAAACTGGATCGAAACCTGCTAGACCCATTCTGTACACCCCCTGTCAACTCCTCTTAGGGTCATCAAGATCAATAGATTTATATGCCATGCCTTCTAAAAGGGAATGAAGGATGACAAACTATCATCATTTAAACAGGACGTTGCTGAAGGCTTACCCCTGTTATGTCGTCTGTTTGTGTATCTTGGGTGTGTGCATTCCTGTTGTGTCCCCAGGCATGTAAAAACTTTCCTAGTCTCCTAATTTGGTGACTAGGTGGACCTTCTCCAACTAGTCGTCTAATCTATTCGATCTGCTCTGCAGCAGGAGGTACTTTTCAAACATAGCAAATAATAATAAACACTATTTAAAGATGAATACATTTTTGTAATTTTTTTATCGTTGGCTCTTACCAGGATATACCTATTTTCTATACTCCCTTAATTAAAGATTACCTTACGATGTTTGAATAAATATGACATTTTACCCAAGATAAATCTAATTTCGAATTTAACTCTTTTTCAATTTCATTTGAAACAATTGGTATATTACAATTTATTATCAAGGAAATCTTCTAATAAAGTTATAGCAGATCCTACTTAAACTACTGGTTGTTCTGCAGGATCAGTAGTCGGCAAACTCATTAGTCAACGGAGCCTAATAGCAAGAGTAAAACGACTGAAATGTTTTAAACTTAAACTATATAGGTAGGTTACATTGTTGTTAATGAGGGTACTGCCAAGCTGGCCATCAAAAAGTGCCAATAATGTGGTCCCTTAAAATACCAGTGCAATGAAAAAGTTGAATTGTCGGTAAATACATTTTATTTTAAAAATCGGCCCTTACATATTATATTAAAATTAGTTATAATTATTTTTTTACATTGGTGGTGTCAAATGAAAAATTTTTGGGTTAGGTAATATTTAAAAATAACTTAATAAACCCTGAATTTATTCCAAGAAATATTAAAGTATCAACATAATGGCCATTTTAATAATAATCACCAGTGGAGGCTTGTATGTAAGGGCGGTAGGCCCAGTACAAGGGGGAAACGAATTTATATAAATATAAAATGAAAATGTGTTATGTTATCTACTCATATTATTTTACTATTTTACACGTCTATTTATAACTTTTATACGGCTCCTTTGTAGTATTTGTTCATAATCTAGTGTTTCGTTCCTGACGTTCAATATATTTTCCGATAGCTGGTGTTGCTGGCCGTCAGGGCTGAAAGTTGTCGCGGCCTCAATTTACGTATTCAATCTATTAGATCGGGCAACGACGCTAACGCTTGTAGGTCTCAGATACGGAATTTTTATATGCAAGAGGGCTACGAAAATTTTAGACTTGCTCCTGTCTAGAAAGTGTATAGAGTATAGACAGCAGATATAAAGCAAGCAAGATATAAAGCTTGTAGACACAAACTTCTTTACCACTACAGTCTCGATTTGTTTTGTATTTTTAAACAATATACAGTTATGTGAAAGACTAGTTTTGTGTTCGTATGTGCACATTTAAAAGTTTTCTCGTCATATTTCATTGTTAAAGTCGTTAGTTTATTGGTAAAAATATGCCTACCTCAAGTGTTGTTAAATTTTTTAAGTTACCTACCTATATTGTGGACTACATTTTGTGTATACAAAATACAAACGAAGTTTCGAAAACAAAATCGTCGTAAATGGATACAAGTCACCAGAAGACAAACTTTAATTATATCTTAGCATGTCGAGTAAGGTATAGCAAATTTATTATATTGACTTTTATTTAAAACAAAAAAGAGGTAGAACACAAGTACTTAGGTTAAGATAAATAAAGTGTGCTAAATTAGAGGAATATACCAAAATATATTGAACGCCAGGGACGGCTTGCAAGAATATAATTGTATAACCTAGGTACAGTGCTTTGGTAAGTTTTAATAAATTTTATATTTACAGTTGTTGTAACGGTTCATTTAAACGTTTCTGCTCGTAGTTAACTCTTAAGCTGAACCTTTTTGTCTTTATTTTGTTGTTATTGCGATTGCTTATGTCCTAATTATTTGAACAGTTTAAAAGTTTGTTATTATTGTTTTTGTTCTTAATTTTTTTTTATTTTGTGTGTTTATGAAGATATTCTTTTAATGGCCCAGAAATTTATATTTATTAATTATCATTGGAAGATATATTTTCTTTGTTGAACTAGAACAAGATTGAAGACAAGATTTAGGATTTGAAGATCTAGAAGACTCAATATGGACGATCCGCCAGAACCGGACTATTGGGAATGCAACCCAAATCTACATTTCCTTTTTTTAGGAAATGTAAGTTATATTTATTTATTGTTATAAAACGTATGATTAAGGTTATAATAATTGATTATTATCAGTAATTTCACCTATTAACAAAATAAGTTTCATGGAACAAAAAATGAAATATTTTATGTTACATAATATTTTATAGAATAATTATTACTACAAATTTCATTTTATATATCATGGATGAACGTAACTGTTATGTTAGACCATAACTGATCTAACATAAAATAATCAAACAATTATTAAATAGGTAGGTATTAATGGAAAATATATTAGGACAAAATAACAAATTAATATAAAAATTATGTTGATACTGACCTTTAAACAATACAATTTTATTGTTGTACTGTCTTATGGTATGACAATTTTTTACTTTATTTTTAATGATGTAAAACATCCCAATGTTTGTGTTTTGGTTAGCGCAACTTTAATTTATAGTACTCTATTATGGTTATACAAGTGATGCTGGTCAAAACTGTGCAATTTGAAAATATATTTTTATTTATAAATGACTTAAGGTCGATAATGTAATAGTATATTACATAACAACAGTAGTAAGAAGCTAATTACAGGCGAGTAGAAAAGTTGCGCACGAGCCGCGTTAGCGGCGAGTGCAGTAATTCTACGAGCATGTAATTGCTCTTACAACTCGAATAATGTACTATACTTTATCTACAACCAGAATCATACGTTCTTAATAACAAGAAGGTTTTTGTAATCTGTAACATTTATTAAATAGGTTTTAATAAAAATATTGTAAATTGCAAATTAACTGAAGAAAAATTGTTTCAAATACCAACCGTTGTTGTTATTATTATTGTGAATCAAGAGCTTCATTTAAATATTTAATTATTTCATCAAAACAATTTCTACCTTTAAAAACCGTCTAACTGCTTTTAATTTTGGGTACGTTTCAAAATTCACTTTATTTCATATGGAAATGACGATTCTTGACATAGAATACATTTCCTAAAATGATGCCGGTTTAACTTGTTTCATAAGTACCCAAAAATATGCCAAAAGCACATTCTCAAAGAATTAGTTTACATTGTTTTTTATACGTCAGTCGATAAGCTTTTGGTATACTATTTCATACCTTGCCCTTGATTTTAAAGGCTGTAGCTTTTTTAAGAATATCAGGAGGAGTTTCTTGAAATTCATTTTTACTGACAAACTCATTTTATTCTTTAAAAAAATAATTTTGTAACTACAACAATAGTCCAGGGTAGTTAGGAAAAACAGCGGAAATTTTTAGGGACAGCAGATATCGAAATGCAGTTTTAGTGTTTGTGTTTAGGAAGGTCCCAGGAAAAAAGTCTATATCGTCTGATTTAGCCATTTTTTGAAAAATGCCTTCTGGGTCGAAAAATGCATTTTCCAATTGCATTATTACTTGCACCATTATAGGAACGACTGGAGACTCGGAAAATCGCTCGGAAATCGTTACTCGGGTGGTTTTTGGGGCTGCCGAACTTGATTCTGGCATTAGAATTAACCGGGGGTGCACGAGGGTGACTCTGTGCGGGTTGCGCGGGGGGGTGAATTGACATGAAAATCGCTCCAAACTCGTTACTTGGGGGGTTTTCGGGGGTGCCGAATTCACTTCTGGCAAAGGAATTACCCGGGGGTGCTCGGGGGCAGCTCTGCGGGGGTATCCGGGAGGGTAATTCTTGGGGGGAAATTGCATAGTCCATGGAAAGCGCTCCAAACTCGTTACTTAGGGGGTTTTCGGGGATTCCGAATTTAATTTTAGCATTAGATTTCCCCGGGGGCGCTTGGGAGTGGCTCTGTGGGGTTGTCTAGCGGTGATTGGGGGGGAGGGAAATGGCAGCGTCCATGAAAATTACTCCAAAATCGTTACTCGGGGGTTTTCGGAGATGCCGAATTTAATTCTAGCATTAGATTTCCCCGGGGGCGCTCGGGAGTGGCTCTGTGGGGTTGTCTAGGGGTGACTGGGGGGGAAATGGCAGCGTCTATGAAAATTACTCTAAAATCGTTACTCGGGGGGGTTTTCGGGGATGCTGAATTGAATTATGGTATTAGACATCCCCGGGGACGCTCGGGGGTGGCTCTGTGGGAAATGGTAAAGGAGAAAGTGAAAAATCACAAATTATGAAAATAATACTTTATTCAAATAACAAATAGTTTCTATTAATGTTGAATTATTTATTATAAACTTAAATGTTTAACTTAAATACTAAACATCTTGTTCAAACTCTACTCTCTTTATAGCTTCAAATCCAGTTTCGAGGCACAAAAGACTTCCAAAGCAATTGTTTTTATAATATGTGTAATATTTATTTATTTAATATTCAATCAAAATTTTTATTATTCATACCTCCGGGTAATTCTAATGCCAGAATTAAATTCGGCATCCCCGAAAACCCCCGAGTAACGAGTTTGGCGCGGTTCCATGGACTATGCAATTTCCCCCCAGAATGACCCTCCGGATACCCCCGCAAAGCCGCCCTCGAGCGCCCCCGGGTAATTCCAATGCCAGAATTGTGTGTGTATGTATCTGTATCCACCATAACTCATGAACCGAGACAAAAAAAAACACCAAATTTTAAATTTAAGCTTTATTTGGGCGTCCAATGAAGTGATTAGATTTTGGGCAGAGTCAGAACATCTGGGAGGGTACTTTATGGGTGGTCATTTTTATATTTTATGGAATATATCTGTTATTTACGTTTGGAGAATAAAATTCTTTAAATAAAAGTTACTTACAATATTATTATAAATATTTTTTGTTTAATACAAACTTTTCCTAAAATGGTCCGTATTCGAGAAATTTGACAAAATATAAAAAAATAATTTTTTATAAAAATTGTGTAAATAAAAGTTGTTTACAATAAAATTCTCTATAATTTTTATCCCATACATAATTTTTCTAAAATGGACCGTATTCGAGATATTTGAAAAAATGTGTACCTAAATTTCGAATTTTGAATAAAACTCAAAAACGGATAAAGAAAAAAACAATAAATTTTAAATTTAAATTTTATTTCGGCCTGACGTAAAATGATTAGATTTTGGATAAAGTCGGAACATCTGGGGGGTACTTTGTGGTAGGCCGTTTTTATATTTTATGGAATATATCTGTTATTTATGTTTGGAGAAGAAAATTGTTCAAATAAAAGTTACTTCTAATAGTATTATCTATAATTTTTGTTTTATGTCAAATTTTCCTGAAATGGTCCGTATTCGAGAAATTTGACAAAATGTGCAATATTCTGATTTTTAAGAAAATTGTTGAACTAAAAGTTGTTTACGATATCGATCTCTATAATTTTTTTTACATACTTTTTCTAAAATCGACCGTAATGGAAAAATTGAAGGAAAAGTGCTAAATTTAAATTTTTCACTATTTTCGTTTTCAATGAATATCTATAAAAAAATGTTTCGAGGTATGTGGAAAATGTATATATTTAGTTTATCCTCTAAACATTTATAGAGGTGCTGCAATAGATTGTACAAAATAACCGGAAAAAGCCTATACCAACTAGATAGGAAAGTCATGTGTTGGACACATCAGATTTTTTCACCTAGTTATGTATGTGGCCCACGAACTGCAGGATGATTTCAAGGTGATCAAACTGGATACTTTCGTTTTCACATTTGGCGTACTCATTTATCTTCTACTAATTTAAGTGCATCGTTTAAAATATATGGCTTTTTAAAATTTTTTGGTAGAATAGACAAGGGACCTTTTTAATTCATACGCCCCTAAATAATATGGTGTTTTTATGAAGGCGCCTAGAGATTACCTATCGCTCAGTGAAGTATGATACTTTCTTCCCAAGATACTCTATATATTAGTGATCATCTAATCATATTTTTTTAGATAAACCAACTGTGACTTTGCGATCAGATCAATTCCATTTAGTAGGAACGCCTGGCAAAGTGGAGTGTATAGCAGCAGCACATCCAACGCCAGTGTTCGAATGGCGATATAAAGAATGCCTAAACCCCGAATGTCCATTTATTCTTGTGAGTATACAATTACTGTTTTAATTTAAGCCAAAACAATAAATAATGTAATTAGTATCTAGAGAAGCTATAATCAACCTCTTTTTCCTTCAGGCCACATATATTTGCTATGTTACACGGGTCACAACATTTTAGGTCATCCATTTAAAATTAGTGGGGACCTGAAGCCTATTTCATAAAACTACTTTGCACTTTGCATATTTTAATAAATTTATGTTTAATACATTATAATACAAAAGAAAAATTTGATGAATTAAAAAGTAAAATTTGAAAAGCAATTTGAAAATTGAAAATTAAAAATTAATATCTGAAAATATTTTATGAAACACAAATATTTTGTACTCGTAAATTTTGAAAGTGCAGAGTAAAAAGTTGCAAAGAAGTTTTATGAAATAGGCACCAAGTTTTATATTTACTTCCCATTTAATAAAAAAAAAAAACAGAACAAAAATTATATTCAAACTTTTATTTAAAAATTAGTGTGATTTGATATTCAGACTGTTGTGTGGCGTCTTCAAGACGTAAAAAAGTAGGTCGCAAGTATATATAAATATTGGGCTAACTAAATATCCGTAAAATCTGACCATTACGTGAATTATGTTACGTCACACGCAAATTGGAATATTCGGTTTTCCGAATATAAGTGACCATATTAAACATATCAACCTATTTTTCATTCCATTCCGAAAATCTTTTCTTAGTGGGTGACTTCTAGATTCTAAATTGAGCTATGCCTTGATGAGTAGGTCAGTAAAAGAGACGGGCCATAAAATCGTATAATAAAACACCAAAAATAGTGGTTTTACTACTCGATTCTTTCCCAATAGCAACATCTGTATCTACAATGTATGGGTTGCCTCACGACATTTAGGACACACCAGTCCCATTGTGTATTCTTCTAAATTGATAGGCCCCTCTTAACTCGTCAGCCAGCTTACAGATTTAATATAGTCCACAGCTTTGTAGAGAGGTATCGACCGGTATTAGCCAATACTCGCCAAACACAATTCCTTTAATAAATGAGAGCGTCATTCAATCGTAAAGGATACACTCCATAGTCTTTTAATCGCATCCCCTGTGCAGATTCTGACATATTCCAGTACTATAGAGATGCTGCCGTAGTTCACAATTACTATAATAGTCAGAATGCCTGTAATCAGGTGCGGATTCTATCTAGTATTTGTTTGCTGTAGAACTGTCACGGTAAGTTGAAAACATCCTGGAAATTCTGTTTCTTGTTTCATCCCACCTTTCCTTGATTTTTACGAGGGAATGTTCTTTAGTTAGGTTTGCTTTGATGTCGTCAGTACAATGGAAGGGCCAGGTCAGAAAAGTACTTTGGTGGCTGCCTTCTTGACTAGTGAATCGGTTACCTTTCGATGTGGCGTCACCTTTGATCCATCTTATGGTGACCAAATTGTCGATGGATGCTTCGGCCAAAGCTTCGTGACATTCTAGTACTAACTCTGAGTAAATTTGTGATCTGTCCAGAGTAAGTAGTGTTTGTCTGCTATCTGATGTATAGATGAGCACGTTCCTTCCAGTAATATTGTTTCTGGTAATTTATTTTGATGCTATGAGAATATACACTGGCACTTTTGTTCACATCCCATTTTAAGTTTAGTTTTAAGGATAGTTTATTCCACATCCTGGGCCTTGTTTTGTATTAGAACCGTCTGTGTAAATATGAATCATATCTGCCACTTCATACTCTTCTGTTTGTTTCGGTATAACTTTATATGGCTTACGAAAGATATATCTCGGTAAAATGGAGTCCATGTTCGCTAGTAATGAAAGCATATCGAACGCCTACTGCCAAATGCGACGTCTCACCAGGTTATATTCCAACTGTGTGGAGTCGTTTCATTATCGTCAAAGCAACTTCCCTGATATAAATATCAAGGGAGTGACACTAAGAAAGACTTCCGTGGCTCTGGTTGGTGTAGTTTTCATGGCTCTTATTATGTTGAGATATGCCCTTCTTTGTATTTGTTCCAGTTTGCGAATAGTTGCAAATTGTTTGGGTTTTTGATACCCACACAACTGCACCCTGTTAGCATAGGTCTTATGATAACCTTGTAAGTTCAAGGGACGTCTCTGGAGGAAAGACCCCTGGTGCGGCCCACAGATCGGAATTGTTCATAAGCAATTAATGCTTTTTTGATTGCGTTTTATAGCTGTAAGTTCCATGTTAACTTGCTGTCAAAGGTGAGACCTAGGTACATCACCTCTGTTGCAAAGTTTATTTTTGTGTTTAAGAGCTCTGCAGTTAAGTTTTAGTTCCATTATCATCCTTTTTTATTGTGAAAAGGACAAGTAATTTCTTAGGATAGACAATGAATGCTCCTTGCACTACTGTTCTATAATTTTTAGACCTATTTTCGCAGAGTATGATCTTCAAATTTTCTGTTTGTAGATTGACCAAGTCATCCGCATATGCTATATTGTAAATACTGTTATTATTAAGGCAGCTGATGGGAGTATGGAGCACCATATATATCTACAGTTACGGTAATAGTGTGGACATCCCTTCGCAACCAAGTATCTTATATTCACAACTTCTTATGTTTACTGCTAGCTTTAAGAGCATGTTATGTATCCATCCATGTTATCATCTGTGGAACATTCCTGTTGGTTAGTGAGTAAATTTTCTTAGAGAAAGGGTCTTGCAAAAGCACCGTCTATGCCTATGAAAATACCCAATACGCACTATTGCCCAGACATCCGGCCAAAAACTAGATGTGTAGTGGTGTTGTAATCGTCTTATCCTTTATGTACCCAACAGCATCATATTCTAGGACGAAAACCAAATGTTTGAATAAGTTTAGATCCGTATTCACAAACAAAGCATTTTTAAATAGTTACCTACGTTTAAATATAGACATGTCAATTCAGAGAAAAGTAGAGTTGGACGATGGCGTGATTTTTCATTTGTATTCTTACTGAATTAATACTTATGTTTAGAGTACCTATACACTCTTGTTTTATGCATACCACCCACTATCTATGTGAGAGGAATAGCGGTTAAAAGCTAGTATGGTATATAATAAAATACCATTACCATTAGAGTGATTCAATGGCTCGAGACTAGAACCAAAGAGTACAAAATATAACTATAAAAGAGAAGTCACTCGCGGCATTTACAAAGGAAATCGCGCTTCAAATGCGGACCGACAAGTCGGCGTTTTTTCAAAGAGTACAGAGCTAATTGGGCTATACCGGGGTAAGCGGTAAGACTCCTCTTTTTTAGTTATATTTTGTACTCTTTGCTAGAACTCAGAAACCCAAAGCTACTGGTTATAATATAAAATAAATGTTTATTTTTGCATTTTTAAGAAACTTCATTACCTTAATTTTTAAATTGTAGATTCCAAGCAATATTAGTAACACGGAAGGCTTAACTGTCTCGTCGGAAGTAATTATTAATGCAAAAACAATTGGAATAGTAGAATGTAAAGCGGCAAATTCCGTTGGTTTTGAATCGGAAGAAATGGAATACATTGTAACAGGTAATTTTTAATAAATATATATTTTTTAAACATCTTGGTTGATTAAAACTTGAAACAACTATCCATAGTTCATAATTAAATATGTTCTTCTCAATATTGTCCAAGAGGAAAAAACTATAATTATAAATACAAGGGGGTTCAAATTTAATCCGGATTTTGTTTGTAATCTTTATTGAATCAAAACTTTTATTAAATACTTTGTTATCGTTTTCAAACTTTGGACCGGCCAAAGCTGCTTTAAGAGATCCAAGCAAATGAAAATTGGATAAGGTAATGTTACACAATACAATTTGACATGACACAAAAAATTACAGAGGTATGATACTTAGCCGACGAAATCTCGTCGAGTTCGCGCATGACGTAATTTGCCATAAGCAGATTAAAATTTATTTCCGCGCGCTGTTTCCGATCAGCTGATACCTCAAATTAGTAAAATCCACGCCTCCATACCATATTACGTCACCATGACGTAATATCAATCGGCGTAATGCACATACTTTGATATGTGGCGTAATGTCATACCTTCTTTTTATAGTACCATTTGACAAGCGTGTCTCGATCAATTAATGCGCGCTGTAGTAGACTGTTAACATGGAGAAGAATCACGCTTCCGATTAGGTCTTTCTGATCGAGAGGCCGTTTTAACTTGTGACACCTTGGAACTTAGAAAGGGTATCTTCTCCATATTGCTGAAGAAGTCTTTCAAAAATTTCGAATGATTTACCATTCTCGTAGCAAAGAAATTTTATAATAATACGTTGTGCAACAGAAACATTACCTGATCGATCCGTCATCCTTGACAGTATGTACTAATATAAAACAATTTAAATTTAATGTTTCTAAAGCCTATCGGTGAGGACCGATTACCAACTAGGCGTTTCCACAAGATTTATTCTAGAAAATCCGGGTTAAATTTGAACTCCCTTGGTAATTACATGTGATAATTTTACTTAGGCTTATTTTTGGAAGTTTATGTTTTTTACAATCTGCGAAAATTAATAAAAACAGTGGGTCACAGTGGGTCCCAAAGTAACGGATAATTTAATTTTCGAGTCGATTTTTAATTTTAAATCTAAATTAATTTTTACGTTGTTACTCCTCTCAAATGTTTAAAAGAAAAGTGGATGCATGTGACACCTCGTTTTATAGAATGCTTAAATTCTCTATTCAAAAATCTAGTGAATTTTAATTGTTGGACTTTTATTACCAAAACAAATTCTCAAATACTTTATCCATTTTAATATCTTTAACATAAATTAAACAAAAGAATGTGCTTAAATTGGGAACCGTTCAAATAGAAAATAGAAATAGAAAACTTGTTGTAGGGTATTATTTGTGAAACTTATTTAGATTTCAAGAAAGTGGGTTATTTTGTTGTATATTGTGTTTTAATTATTTTGTGCCGATTTAGAATAGAAAATAAGGACCAAAACAACATTATTACTAGGTTATAAGGTTTTATTTTTATAAGTCAATCTACCTTTCTTTCATATAAACTTTCAATAATAATGTATATTATTGTTTTTAAAAGCAAAAAAGGTTTATTTTTATTTGTTTTCTTTTCGCAACTGGTTTCCAAAATAATCGATTATTCCAAACTAATCGATTATTCCAAAAAATCGATTTTTCCAATATGATCGTTTATTCCAAAATAATCAAATAATCGATTAACAGAATGCCAGGTGACAAAGGGATCGAAGGCAACGAAAAGGCTGACGAACTTGCAAAAAGAGGGTCAGAAGAAACACCGGAACCAGACACAAACCCAGGAGTACCAAAAAGTACAGTCCGGGGTTTTATAAATGACTGGATTCGGGAACAACATATCAACTATTGGGGAAGCACCCCAAAACAGGCACATGGAAAAGCCTTCATAGGCAGACCATGTCCCAAAAGAACTGGAGAACTACTCTTAATGAATAGGAACCAGTTGAAAGTGATAACAGGGTTCATGACTGGGCACGCCCCAGTAAAGGGACACTTGAACAAAATTGGCATGTACAATGGGGAACTCATGTGCCGACTATGTCACAAGAAACCAGAAACGGCCAAACACATACTGTGCGAATGCGAAGCTCTAGATCGCAAAAGACAGGCTCTTTTTGGACAACCCCAGGTTGATCCAACAACGTATAGAACCCACTCACCCAAGGATCTGTACAAACTTGTACAAGGTACAAAGGTGATAAAGTGGGTGCTATGAACTAACATGAGGTAAAACACAATAAGCCAATAGGCTTCAGTGTTATTCGGAGACACATAGTCAGACGAGCCCAGGAGAGAAAAAAAACAGAATAATTGGAAATAATCGATTAATAGAAAACAATCGATTATTTGAAAGGAATCGATTAATCGAAAAGAATCAAATAATCGAAAAGAATTGATTATTCTAAAGCAATCGATTATTTGATTTCACCACAATAATCTTATTCGAAAATAATTGATTATTCGAAAATAATTGATTTATCGAAAAATAATCATTTTATTCGAAAATAATCGATTATTCGAAAATAATCGATTATTCGGAAATAATCGATTATTCGGAAAGAAATGATTATTCCAAAATAATTAATTAATTGGAAATAATCATAGTGATCAATTATTTATTTTGATAATCGCCCGGCCCTAGTTATAACCTAACATTTTTAGCAACACAATTATTTAAAAAGGAAGTTTTATTTGATTGGATCCAATGTCTTCAGTCAGAGTGACCTGATCAAGCGAAGTCAATTCATGTGAGTCATGTCGTAAGCTACGTGCGATGCACAAAATGGTGCTAAAAATGGCATGGTTTCATGCGGGCACACTCTTTTCTTCATGAATCTGTTGACATCTCTTTTTAACTACAGACATTTGCGGAAACCTGTCACGTTCAATAAGCATACCGACAGACGCGACCAGCTAGAGCGCAGTGGCGTACCAAAAAAATAGAGATAACACGTACGAAAATAATAAAAAATTAAAATTGAATTTGCATTGTTATGTGATTTATATGATGTTAAAATGTGTTCTAATGAAATACTGGGTGTTCACTGCACAATTGAACAAATGGAGAAACTGCCCTGGGTCCTACTCCGCTTACTATAGATTGAGAAATACGAAGGTCAGGATACTTATTATTAAAGATTCTATGTACGTCCATAATGAGTTCTGATTCTAACTCCAACTATATTTTATATAAATAAATAAATTTTTTGAGTAAACGAAAGATTCATGTTTAAAATATTAAGCTGGTAAATCAACAGTAAATATCTACAAAATTCATTCACACCAACGTAGAAGACTCAAAAAACTGTTATTTCTTACTGAATACCGTAAAAACCTGTTAATGTTTTTGGTTTAACGTTTTAATAACATTGATTTTTATGTACATATCAGCATAATATTTAAATTATTTTCGTTTAAAAATATGTAAAAATATTTTAAAATTCGTCTGATAAGAAATAGGTTTCTAATTAGATAATTAAAAGCCATTTAAAATGCGGTGTCGCATACCCCTTCTTTTCATTTAAATAATTATATTAATTGCATAAAAGTGGTATGAGAAACAAACGGTAGATGTTGATCTAAGAGGAGCCCTAAATCTGTTATCTCATTGACACGTTTAAGAATTGAATTCGCCATTAAAAGTAATTAAATACAGTCTTGTCATATTCTCTACCAAGTAATTATGTAACACTTGTGGATATTGACACTTCTTTAAAGACCAATCATGCAGTACATTAATATCACTTTGTAAAATATATTGGAAAACATCTTTAATGTCATTTATATATGAACAATAATGGCCATATCCGATGGAAAAGCTACCATCTATCCTCGCCATTTGAACTGTTTCAATCCAAGTCAGAAAAGCATAAAAAATACCAAGATTTATAGCAATAAAGTGTGATTAACATGGACAAAAGCATTACTAAAATCAGAATATATTGTGTCAACTTGCATATTTTTATGAAATTTGGAAAGAATATTTTGTTGCTAGACAAACCATCATTTACCCCTCCGAGGAGGGTCCAGGAGGTAAATTTTTGACGTATCAAAAATGTTACGTTTAAAATTAGAAATCGACCTGATCAAATTGTCCTCTTCACATCATTAATTAGATATAAAAAATAATGTATTCTTTACTTGAGAACCTCACTGGATATGTTAAATTAATGATTAGATACTCATAAATTTTTATTAGAAACCTAATAAATTTATTGTTTTTCTAGATGTTCCTAATGGTTTTGCAATGACAGAATTCGATGATACGGTAGTAATTAATAAGAAAACAGAAACTGCCCAATATGCAGTTGGAGAAAAAATTCATGTTTCTTGTGGTGCATCACGGTATAAATATGGCCATGTTGAATGGCTTGTAAATGGAACGTCAATTGAAGAAGATACCCGTAAGTAATTTCTAAATAAAAAAGCAATATCAAATGTTTTCTCTATTTTGATTTAAGCTGATTGTTTCCTTCTAACAACTTATAGAACTCGTTATAATACGCATGTTTTTGAATGCCATTTTTATACTGAAGGGTGTTGCGGTTAAGGAAAGGATATCTGTATAAAAACCGGATGTGTAGACGAAATTTCTGAATATATATTATTTAAAAATCTAATTTTTGGCCAAATTAAAAATAAAGGTCTAACTTAGGTCGTCTTACTATTTAAAATTGATAAATTTATTAGTTTAAGTAAAAACCAATCATTTTAAACAACTTTATTCTATAATTATTTTAATCTTCATTTCAAAGAAATAAGAAAAATAAATACTAAAATCCTATATTTTTTTTACGATATGGTTCACTCAGGATATGGAAATATTCCATATTTTCCGAATTCAGTCGATTTGAAATTTATGAGTTTTTTTGGAATATTATGCCATAAAAGAACTATTTTAGACAAGAAATCGCTTCTATATCAACTTCTCCTTCTCTAATAAAGTTTCGGCTCTAAATTAAAAAACATTTTCAACCATTGGTTATTTAAATACAATATTTTAAATAAATATGTGTGTTGGTATACGGGGAGGTGATATTGACTATTCACGAAATGTACAATAGTAAAGTTTAACAACGAACTAGCCTAAAGACCCATTTGGTTCAACTACTGTTGTCAATGTACTATTAAGTGATGAAGGCAGCACTGTCACCAGCCAAAGGATCCTGGAGTCCCAAAGGAACATCCAGTCACCAGTGGAAAAAAGTATAAATAATAAAAATACAATTGAAAAACAAAATTATCCCTTAATAGCATAGTCGAGTGGCTTTGGCAACTAGTTATAGATTTATTTTAGTCCTTAGGGGATAGAAACGCCGAGGCTTCACAAATGCTTAAAATATTTCATAACAAACATTCTGCTTATTTATTTTTTATTCTTGTATCGCTTTTCAAATAGTTTTTAGGTAAGTTATTTTTGCATTTGAGCAACTTTGACCATAGATGATACTAATTAAAACTAATTTTTATTTTAAAAGATTTCGCCCCATTTACTGTATGGGGGAAGTATTACAATTTTTGAACAAGACATGAGTAAATATTAGTCCTATTATAGTATAAAATGGATTGTTCTATGCACTTCGTTTTTTTTTTCATCTCCTGAAAAATGATAATTTTACGACTTATGAGGTCCTAGCTTGTGGCCCTCGTTATGTTTATTTGGGAAAACATGGATGATCTATCTATATTATTGACCCTGTCAAATCATCAGACCCACAAGGTTGCCTTATCATAACCTGTCAAAACTCACTGGCAACATCTGGCCCTGAACGTCGTCTCCGAGGGTTTTCCTCACACAATCGAAGAAGGCGAACCCAAAATCGTTATGGGGGTTTTTTGGGGCGCTGAATCCGAATTTTACGTCGAAAACGACCCTTCATAACACCTGATGTACCGGAACCTTGGGCTGAACGTCGTCTCCGAGGGTTTTCCAGACACGATTGCAGAAGACTAAACCGAAAATCATCTCATAATTCATTGTGTAACTCTCGCCTGGAGCTCTCGAAAAAGTTGATCCAGTCCTGTGAAATTACAAATGCTGGGTTTTGTGCTAAATATACGCCCCGCCCACCAACGTCCAGGTTCGGGCGCACCAGGTATCGGGAAGTGTTCTACGATACCACATTTGAATTTAGCGACCTAAAAAAAAACCCGAGTGCCGAGTTTCTCTCCTTCTTCGCGTGAATTTTGGGAGAGTCCCACGGAGATGACGTTCAGGGCCAGGTTCCGGTGCATCAGGTGTTGGAGGGATCATTTTCGACGGGAAATTCGGTTTCAGCGCCCCAAAAAAAACCCCCCATAACGATTTTCGGTTTGTCTTTTTCGATTGAATGAGCAAAACCCACGGAGATAAGGTCCAGGTTCCGGTGCACCAGATGTTCAGAGGGTCGTCTTCGACATGAAATATGGATTTAGCGCCTCAAAAAACATCCCCATACCGGGTTGTTTTTGGCGATCTTGTCAAGAAAATTCTCTTGGAATAACGTCCACGTCCAGGTTACGGCACATCAGGTGTTTGGGGGGTATACGCCGATGCCATATTTGAATTCAGCGACCAAAAAAAATCCCCAGCCGCCGAGTTTCTCTCCTTCCCCGCGTGAATTTCGGGAGAGTCCCACGGAGATGACTTTCATCGCCGTTCCTGAGCTACAGATCAGCTGTGGGTCAATTTGAACATCATAATCGTGATCAGCGACCTAGAAAACCTCCGAGAACTCGATTTGAGCCAGTTCTTACTCTTATTTACAAAGTTCTTTAATCTTCCAAAAGCCGTCTCAAAAAATGCATTTTTTGAATGTATTTTTGGCTGCAGCACTGCAATTTCCCGTTTGTATAAGTTAAAAAGTAGGGAGATTTTTGCAAAAAAACCGCATTCCGATCCGTCTTAGTCTAAAAATTTCTAACTTTTGGCCTTTTTAATTCTTCATTGCCTCGACTAATAATATAATGTATTATACTTTTCCATATGTGATTAGATTATAAATATTATAGAGAACTCGTAAATATTTATATGAAACACTTACATGAAGATGTTTTTCCGTATACGTTTTGTATGTTATTGCGAAAAATGTTATTTCACACACACAATATTTTATTTGAATACTAGTTATTGTTGTTTTTCCACGTGATTCTAAAATTAGTCCAGAAAGTCGTATAGATTTTTGTTGAAGGAAATAATGCAATAAATAATATGAATACGATTATTTATTGTTTCGGCCTTTACTTGATGAAAATCCATATTATCTTAAATGAGTAAAACCAAATTTGGTAGATTTTCACAAAACTTTTATTTTAAAAAAATAAAAATTAAAAACACTACACATGACATGTTTCGAAGTACAACTTCTTCTTTTTCAAATGTGACTAATTTATAATTCGGTGTCCAATATATATGTGAAGTAATTTAACCAAACAAAGTAATTAAGAAAATACATCAATAACATAACAAAATAAACTGACTATTTAAAGTAAATAAGGGTACTTAAGTAATTATGATATCAATCAGATAACAATAAGATAGTATCATTACCGGGATTATCTCACAGAAAACTAGGAAAGAGATATAGAAAATAAGGGCATTAAACTAAACCATTTAGAAACACTTGAAATAAATAGATTTAAAAATTCAGATAACCTACTAAATGATCAATTAGATATTAATAACTCACCTTTATTAAATCTCTTTCCTAGTTTTCTGTGAGATAGTCCCGGTAATGATACAATTTTATTGTTATCTGATTGATATCATAATTACTTAAGTACCCTTATTTACTTTAAATAGTCAGTTTATTTTGTTATGTTATTGATGTATTTTCTTAATTACTTTGGTTGGTTAAATTACTTCGCATATATATTGGACACCGAATTGTAAATTAGCCACATTTGAAAAAGAAGTTCTACTTCGAAACATGTCATGTGTAGTGTTTTTAATTTTTTAATTTTTATTTTTTCAAAATAAAAGTTTTGTGAAAATATACCAAATTTGGTTTTACTCATTTAAGATAATATGAATCCGTATTAAAATAAAGTATACCAAATACTCCAAAATAAGACTTAGGAGTTATTTTTATAATTTTATTAACAGCTTATAAAATAAGAACCGGGGGACCGAGCGTCTTCAACGCTTCAAATTTTGAGAATAATTCAAAAGTTACATAAGGCACGTAACGTCGCGTGTATCATTTGAATAGTAAGTTTTTGTAAATTAAAAATGTATTTCTCTAGAAATTCATAGTTGATTGCTTATTGATTGAAAAGTGTGTTGATAATAAACAACGGTAATTTGAGAGACAGGCAGACATTGGCACTTTAATATAGTAGGCCGTAATTTGTAATCTTTGACATCTAATCGAATTTGTTCATTTAAATTTTCGAACGAATTCTATCTCGGGAACCACAAAAGTAGGTAGGTGCCATGATTTTGGTGTCATTTTACTTCTCTTAGTGTCCCTAGCTTATATCTGAGTCCGATAAGGTTTTGGCTTTCTCTATACCGAGATCGCAGCACGGACAGACAGACATTGGCACTTTAATATAGTAGAATTAGCTCGTTACCACAGTTCGTCAAATTAATGTTCTATTTGGTTACATTCCGGTAGTTGACAAAAAATAGATTTTATATTCTTGACTATTTTATCCCTTCGTCACTCTTGCCAGTCTAAAAATCGGTTTGTAATACCCCCTAATACCTAATAGGTCGATATTTATAGATATTATTATATAGATTTCTTTAATTATTTGCAATTTGCACTAATTTTATCCAGTAGATACCGGCATCTCCTGGATGGAATATCAGATGGAATCTAAATTGACGTAAATTCGTTCAGAAATCCGAAGGATACCCCATCCTTAAAGATAAAATCAACCGTTTCTTAAATGGTTCGATTTAGAAATGAATACGAAACCAATTAAAATCGTTTACTTCACACTTTTAAAATGAAATAAAAATATTGTTTGCTTTTAGGAACTCGAGTAACTTATACGAAATCTGAATTATCGAATAATGTAATCCTAGATATTGATGATGCTTCGTACAATGACAGTGGATTATACAGCTGCCGGGTGTCAATCAACGCAAGCGATTACATTTTTAAAAATATGTCGTTTTTGATAACAGGTAAGAACAATGCCAGAATTAAGTTTCATTATATATTATTAATAATTTATTTTTGTTCGTTATAATACCGGGTGTCTGTAAAAGGTCTTTACAAAAACACACCACATATTCCTTAGACCAAAATAAGTCGATTTAAGTAAAATTACTTTAGTACAAAGTTGCTTCGTTTGGGCTCCAGAGGGCCTTGAAGTTACAATTTTTAAATCGTTTTTCCCATATAAATTTAAAACGGCATACGCGATTTTGCTGAAATTTGGTATATTGATAGAGTTTTATGTGGCAAAAAAATAGTATTAAAATTTTGTCCGATAATAATACATAGGCGTAGAACTTGATTTTTTAAATAATTGCACCTTTAAAAATTCTACGCCAATGGAAGAGTGTTTGAAAACTACTCCTTTCACGAATAATTTGAAATCCATTATATTTAAGCGGTGCGTGGATTAAAATCATATATTAAAAAAAAATATTTTATAATATTGAACATAATTTATGATCTATTGTAATGATTCATCTCTCAAAAACTACCCCTTATGATGAATTTGACAAAAAAATAGTGTTCAACAGTTTTAAATTTTTTAATAGTCTATTTACAATTAATTGAAAACCGCTCACTATTTTTTAATATTGTTAATATTTCTGATTGATTGCAACGTTAGAACCATCAAAAACTGCTCGCATCTTGAAATATTTCCATAACGAAATAAAATTTTGGACCTGTTTATATTTTTTCTGATTTATCACTCAGAAATCGCTCTTGAGGTTAAAATTAACTTGGTAGGTATGTTTTGTTACAACACTGAAAATATTAAAAAAATTAATAAATGGGGAAAATAAAATTTTAACATACATTAAAATATTGTGCTTTATTATCGAAATTCTATACATCATCACATCTCTTGGTCTCTATTTGGAAGACAATTTTGACAGTTTGTACCGGAACACACTCAACATTTTGAATTACAAAAAAGCCCGACTTTTCAACAAGTTGAGCCAGATTTTGTTGTTGCAGTTACAAAATACCATTTTAATTAGTTCTTCTGGTCCAGGCATATTTACCATTTTAATTGGATATAATGATTCTTCATTTTTAAAACATCTTCAATCAGACGAAATGATTCAGAGCATCAACTGTTAGAACAAGGGATTCAAGTTATTGTTTTTAGAGGTAAACCTTAATAAATTTTTCAGCGCTTTTGATCCATAATAGCTGATAAGCAACTCAATTTTTGAACCTGTGAGTGTATGAGTGTATTAGGATATAGTTATACACATATAAAATCGAAAATAAGTGTTTAGAAGTATTTATAAGCAACTGTCGAGAATAAGGCACAATTCATATCACCTGAAATTTTCACCGAAAAAATCGATTGGTTTTTATCCATAATTTTAAAGCAAAACTCATTTTGCATATAATTTTAAGAGCTACCTACAAGGTTGTTGAAGTTGAACTCGCTTAAACCTTTTGCCTTAAAGATTTTTGAGTTTAAAGGGTTCGTGAAAGATGGTACTCGAACTCAAATGCCAACTAAAATGGTGATATCTCAAGTAATTTTCACCTTGCAAAAAAGCTACATTTCTTTACTCCAGTATTTTTCGTATCTTCTTTAATTAATAATGTATTTTGAAAAATAGGAATTTTTTTTAAATTTTCAAAAATACTTTCATAACTAATCAAATTTTGAAATAGCTTTGAGCTTTTACTAAAAATTTGTTTATTCCGTTATTTAAATTTCAACGTTCCACTTCAGTTTTTGACAAACCAACAGTCACATTCAACAAAGCTTTCATTTATCGAAAAATCTTTATTTAACATTAATTTCATGGAATATTTCAATCTATCCATATCTGCAGTATTTTTAAGTTTATTAATTTCCACCCCCGAGAAGAGGCAGCATCTTCCCCCACGGTGAAAACTGTTTCTTTTTTTTTCTCCTGGGCTCGTCTGACTATGTCTCCGAATAACACTGGAGCCTATTGGCTTATTGTGTTTTACCCCATGTTAGTTCATAGCATCCACTCTGTCACCTTTGTATCTTGTACAAGTTTGACAAATCCTTGGGTGAGTGGGTTCTATACGTTGTTGGATCAACCTAGGGTTTTCTAAAAAGAGCCTATCTTTTGCGATCTAGAGCTTCGCATTCGCACAGTATGTGTTTGACCGTTTCTGGTTTCTTGTGACATAGTCGGCACATGAGTTCCCCATTGTACATGCTATTTTTGTTCAAGTGTCCCTTTACTGGGGCGTGCCCAGTCATGAACCCTGTTATCACTTTCAACTTGTTTCTATTCATAAAGGCTTTTCCATGTGCCTGTTTTGGGGTGCTTCCCCAATAGTTAATATGTTGTTGCCGAATCCAGTCGTTTATGAAACCTCGGACTGTACTTTTTGGTACTCCTGGGTTTGTGTCTAGTTCCCGTGTTTCTTCTGACCCTCTTTTTGCAAGTTCGTCAGCCTTTTCGTTGCCTTCGATCCCTTGGTGACCTGGCACCCAAAATAGTTTTACTCTATTTCGGTCTACCAGTGTTCTTAGTTCTTCGATGCATTCCCATACCAGCCTCGACGTAACTTTCTGACTCGATATGGCCTTAAGTGCCGCTTGGCTGTCTGACATTATTTGAATGTGCTGATTTTCGACAGCTCTTTCATTGTTCGTTTTTGCACATTGCAAAATTGCGTATACCTCGGCCTGAAATACCGAGGAATGTATTCCTATAGCATAGCTATGGTTAGTATCAGGGTTTTTGGATAATACTCCCGCCCCAGTGCCTTCCGCAGTATTAGACCCGTCTGTATACCAGGTTTGTTCCTGTCGTTGGGCATTGGGCTCCCTTATGGTGATCTCCGCTCTTTCCTGTATCAAAACCTCAAAAAAGAGTACCTCTTGATTATGTGGTCTCCTGTCACTAACCTTGAGATACTCATGTGCCCTGGCCTAATGTCAAGATTTCCAAGTGTATTCCCTAATCTGTAAGCACCTAATCTTGCCTCCCCTTGGATCACATAGTGAAGAGGTGGAAGTCCTATTAGTGCTTCCATTGCAGCTGTTCCTTATTTACTGTCCAGATATTATGTAAATCGGTTTAGTCTGAAAGAATTCGCAGCCAAAAACAGTCAACCACTGAACTATTAAGTAACAGTAGATTCTTAAATATCTCAAAATGTAATAGGTATATGGATATAAAAATCAAAAGATGATAGCGAATGATTTCATTAAAAAGTAATTTTTTGTTACAATCACCTAAAAATACTTTAATTTTAGATCCCGTGAGAGCTCAAATAATTGATTCTAACATGGTTGGAGAAATGTTGGAGGATTTTCCGAAAAGTGTTTCTTTTAGCTGCGTTGTTAAAGGGATTCCAAAACCAAAAATTTTTTGGTATAAAGTAAGTAAATCTAAATATACATAGTAAGTTAAAGTCTGCGCCAGATATGTGGGTAGATGAGGATACATCTATATAATTTTTAATTCCAATATATTAAATATGAAATAAAGATAATACCCAAAAAATGTATTGAATTTAGACAAATTTTTTAAGTGTCTAATTACATAAGTAAATCTTCAGTTCACGTATCTTGCAATATATTTGTAAACTAGCAAATCCCAAATACAATCATATATTATTTTTATTTAAATATTATTTAAAAACTATATTTTTAGAATGATGAAGATCTTAAACCAAAAAAAGATCAAAGAATCAGTTTCGAAAATGATAATCAATTACTTAAATTCAACGAGACTAAACCATCAGATCAAGGAACATATAAGTGTCTTGCAATTTACAAAGAATTTTCTGATTTCAGGGAAGTCAAGCTTAAATTTAAAAGTAAGTATCTAATTAGTTGGGTATTTATTTAGGTATAGTATAATTAAAAAAAATCAACATAATCCAAAATAGTATTTGGTTTCTTGTAGAATAGATGAGCACGCGTTTTACAATTTTTAGAAAATAACAATATAACAATTAAAATGTGGTTTAACATATTATTTGTGTACTTTAAACTAGATTCACAGTATGAGTTGACGTAAACATCTTAAGACTTATTCAGAGTAGTAGTATCTCATGGCTGGTCGCTCTCACTCTGAATGTTTGCTCGATGCAACGCTATCGCATCGCTACGCTCGGCGCTCCTAATCTGAACAAGGCTTTATGATATTATTGGTTGCTGAAAATGTCTATTGGGTTGAAACACCTCTTGTATTACCTAATTTATTATTTACTTTTTTTAGATGCTCCAGCAATGATACAATCATGGATGGTCTATATAATTGTAATTCTTTTGCTTGCATTGGTTGCAATTATGGTTTATTTATTTATCAGAGTTCGGAAAGACAGAGTAAGTTATCTGTTTAAAATTATTATTTATTTGTTTGCATTACCTTTTCCATAAATAATTATAACCTCCAATATCCTAAAATATTTTTTGGGGTTGGCTGATGGTAGTTGGGGCAACGAAAAGGCCGACGAATTAGCAAGAGAAGGCTCAAATAAATCTATGGCAGGTCCCGAACCTTTCTGTGGAGTTCCTAAGACATTGTGCAATGCATCCATCAAGCAATGGATGAGGGTCTTAAGAGTGGTGGAACAACTATGCAAGATTGAGAAAGGGCAAACTGTTTATCAAGGAACCGTCGGCCAGATACAAGAAAGACCTACTGGATCAAAATAGTCAAATCGTTATAGGATAACAATAGGTCTTCTTACGAGACACTCTCGCCTAAAAAGACACATGAGTGTCATCAATTCAACAGAAAAACCAACATTGTGCAGGTCCTGTGAATAAGAAGGAGAGGAAACATCAGTTAACGTCCTGTTCCCGTGTGAAGGCTTGGCTAGATTGAGGTTACTAATATTAGGCAAAGAAAATCCAATCGCATGAAACTACATGCGGGAGCCATTGTCAAAGCTACTAAGTCTAATAAACCAAGGTAGACGACATTCTCTAAAACTCGGAGTCCCTAATAGATCTGAAAAGGTCGCGGTAGACAAGGACAAATAATGCCCAACTTCTTTTAAATCTAATATAATCTAGTGTTAGTTGCATTCACAGGATGCATATTGGAAACCTACCATAGGTTATAAAGAATTATTTATAATGTCTACTGAGGATTATCCACCTAATCCTTTATTACTGACTTAAGTTACGAGGGCCTAGTAAAGTAAAATACAGTTTATTTACAAAAACATTTATTTATACTTTTTTCAAGTATTCTTCTCAAAAATCAATACATTTTTGAATCCATGAAATCCATTCTTAAAAACATATTCTGTCCCAAGTTTGTTTATTTGATTTAAACACATCAACCGCTTCTTTGGCCGATGTAAAACGTAAACCCCATAATTTTTCCTTTACCCCCGAAAATAAGAAAAAGTTATTAGTTACTAGGTCTGAACTATTCAGCGAATGAGTCAATATTGCTATGTTTTGGACATTCAAATGCTCATTGATTTGAGCAACACTGAGCCCGAGCGTTATCTTGATGCATGATAATACTTCCTCTTGTATGTTTTTCGCGAACCTTTTGGAGAACCTAAGACAAACAAACTGTAGTGTATCTGAATAAACAGAATGTCTATCCTACAGTGCTACAATGGAAACATGCTCAATACTTGTGGCGACCATCTTTTTGTTTCGGCTTTTTTCACGAACATTTTTGTTGGAACCGACCCATTCTCATGGAAAGACCCAAACTGATTATTGTTGCTTTTTTTTGTCATAGCAGTATACCCATGTTTCATCACCTGTGATGATTTTGTTCACCAAATTAGACGATACACGGTCAAAACGATCTAGTGTAGATCTGCACTTACAAGATTTTCTTTTTGAGCTAAAGTCAAGTTGTGGGGAATCTATCATCGAGAACAGGGCTTATGGACTTTCAAAAGTTTGTGTGGATAGTGTTAATTGCTCTCATACCAATCTGTAAAGTTTTTTCAATATTTTAAACAGTAATATGCTAATCCTCTTTAATCATGTTCCGAATAAGATAATTATTTTTTTGTAACTGCCGTTTTTGGCTTAGAAGCTCGAAAACTGAAATTTAAGGAAAATCGACCTCGTTGACATTCATTGTACCACCGGTTTACGGTAGCGAAGGAACACGACTTGTCACCAAGCATTCGACTGATTTCCTCAAAAGGTTCTTTACGGTTTAATCCACGTTTGAAATAGTAAAAAATTACAGTCCGATAATGCTCCTTATTCATTTCTATCACTTACTGGCGAAAGGATTACTTTAAACTTATTTAACTTACAAATAATTAGGTATATTTTACTGTCACTAACTAATCTTATAAATAACTAGATTGAAATGTTAGACAAAATTTGCTTCAAAAAATATCAGCCGTCGTATAATTGAGATCAAATTAATATTCTTTTTATCGATTAACGTAGGAAATACATAAATACTGAAGGTAACCATGAGGAAGATGCTCATAAATTCAATCAATTAAATTAATATAGACAATAAGTAATTAATAAACCGTCTAATGCATAAGCATAACTAAATTTACTTACATTTTAACGCCATTATTATTATAATGAATGATATTACAAGAACGGTTATTTAAATATTTTAATGTTGGTAAACTGACATTCTTTACATGATTTTCTATTGAATTTATAAATGTTTTCTAGAAAAATATTATCAAATATTTAATTTGTTAATGATTTGAGAAACATAACCTCATATATTTGAATTTTACTAAACACGTAGTAAAAATTAGAAGTGTGATTCAAAAATAATTTAACTCTTTACTTTTTCCCTGAACGAAATTGACATTTCTAACTTTAAGTATTTACAGGTAGGTAACTTTTTAAAGATGCTTTGTGAATACGAATTAGGCGTTTTTGAACTAGATTTTATCCCACCCATTCTATTTTTAACAAACACTCGATCTTTCTCACGTCTGTTCTAACTTTGGTACCTACTATAGGTTTTGCTCCTGCGGTTCAAAAAAAAAGCAAATACCTTCCAGTGAAGGTTGAATTAGTATAAATAGGTGTGGGTGAGTTAGTTACTTATTAAGGTACCATTTGGTAACGCGAGACCGAGGCAGGAGATCGAGGCAAGAGACCGCGTAAGGTGACCGAAATGCGTCTTTTTACGTTTGAATCACATGAAGCACATTTATTACCGAGCGAGCGATGCAAGAGATCGCGACAGCACTTTCAGTACTGGTTTCGGAGCAGGGTTTGCTGTTTGTCGCGGTCGCTTGCATCGGCCTCGCATTCGCAAATTGTATTTTTATCGTCGAATGTATGAAAGATACGGATAATTATGCCTATAATAATTAGTAAAATAATGAGCAAATCTGTATATTTGGTGACCGGCAGCATCTATAACACATTCTTAATATCATACAGATAAAGAGGTGAAAACCTGAGTGGTTCCTATAACCTACACTAAGTACTCGATCCAGATATTGTTTTTTTATACCTAGAGTGGATAAACTTTCGAAATATCTTTCACAAGTTTTTCTTGATCTACAGTGTTCTGTATTTGATGTTTCAAATTAGCAACAAACTACCCTTATTTTCTCATAGAATGTTGGTTTTACCTTTGTGAATGTCAATTTATAAAAATGAGGTTCATTGATGTTTGCTCAGTATGCTGAAATTTAACGTTTCTGTTTATTACTATTCCTATGGAAGTAATAGTGCCAAGATTTAGACACGTTATACAAAAATATTTAAATTTTAGTTACTAAAAGAAGAAATGAAGCTATTGGGATTGGCCAATTTTGAAAAGGGAGCTGTAGAAAATATAAATCCCGAGTTAGGAATCGATGATCAAGCAGAACTTCTGCCATACGATAGGAAATGGGAGTTTCCTATCGAACAATTAAAATTAGGTAAGTACTTAGGTATATACGTACAAATGGGTCAACAACAAAAACTAAAGAAACAAATTAAAAATCGCCTAAACCTAAAGCTATAAACTTTTTTAATTTTTTAGGAAAACAATTAGGATCGGGAGCATTCGGAGTGGTTTTAAAAGGAGAAGCAAAACATATCGTAGAAGGGGAACCCCTGACTACAGTAGCCGTAAAGATGGTTAAGAAAAATGCCGATAATACTTACATTAAAGCTCTAGCTTCAGAATTAAAAATAATGGCTCATCTTGGTAAACATCTCAACGTTGTTAATTTACTTGGAGCGTGTACGAAAAACGTCGCAAAAAGTATAAATATAAATTTTTTATTTCTTTTTGTATTAAATGTTTTTCTTTGTAGGGGAATTATTAGTTATAGTTGAGTACTGTCGATTTGGAAATCTTCAAAATTTCCTTCTAAGACATCGCCAACATTTTATTAACCAAATTGATCCAAATACTGAAAAAGTTAACTATCTTATTGGACAAGAGGAACTAATGGACAGAACATATTCTGTTTCCAGTAACAGAAGGTAAATTTTTGTTAGCAAATTATTAACCGAAAATTGTACTTACTCGTAAAATTCACTATGACCTGAAAATGATATAATTTATTAAGTATTTTTCAAGATTTCAGTGTTAAATCTGACAACAATGAAAATATTGACAAATGTTTAAATGCAAATTCCACTGGTTCGTCGTGTTTTTTCAATAGGCCTTTTCATCACAATTTTTTTTTTGTGCGCATGCGTCAGTATCAGCCATCTTTTTCGTACTGTTTTTTGTTATCAAGCATGTTAAAATGTCCACATGAAAAAATTATACTCGATAAATATTAATTTTAAGTATATTCGTTTACAAAAATGGGATAAAAAGAGTAAAGTAATAAGGGTCGATTCCACCGTTGTGTTAAATGGAGATTAAAATGACATTGTTAATCTAAAAATGTCATTTTTAACTTCGTTTAACACAACGGTGGAATCGGTCCTAAGTGTCTTAATTGAAACATCAATGTTTGCAATCAATTAATTATGTTATCAATACGGAAACGAAAAACTAAACTGTATTGTTATGAGTATGTAAAAGTGACACACTGTATAAATTAATATTTTATAAAAAGACTTGCCTGCAATATCGTAAAAAACTATCAAAGTAGGCAAAATACATATTAAAACAAGTTCCAAGTGCGCATTATGAGTGAAAAAATATGGTAGAACTTACAAAGGTTTTCAATCGATACGCTAGTTCAGTGTGATGTCATTTTGGTTCCACTGACATTTAATTCTAACCAAACTTTTAACAAAAACCTCAAAAAATTTGACATATACGTTTTTACTGTTTTTAGTTTATTTCTAAATATTGTTTACAGGTCATAAAAAATAGTTTAAAGGTATGTAATTGGTAACTAAACGATTGTATATTTGATGCATGTTATCTACTTAATTTAGAAATATATTTATAAAAGTGAAAAAAACGATATAATTTAGGTAAACAAAACGAACAAAACGCACTCAAAAAATCTACTGTCACGTTAATTGTCAGTGGAACCATAATTACATCATCACTGAACTAGCGCATTGATGGATGATGTTAGGTACTAAAGATACTTATATTTGTTCACTACATTTTTATGGAGAAAGTGGTTCAACAAGAAAATCCTTGTCTGGTATTACAAAATATCTTTTAATACTAAATACTACCTCGGTATACACAGTAATATTATTAAAAATGTCATGTTGATCCTTAAAATTTTAAATAATTTATTTTATTAATTATACTCGTGATTAACTTTCATATTAAAGTGTTTTTGCAATTATTAATAGTAGGTTGGCATAATTAATTAGAATAGAGTTATAATTATTATTTGTTTTCATTAATTTTGTACACAGTTAATATTGAAATCTAACCTCTCAATCACACTTTTTGTCCTTGTTCCGAACGTCCACGTCACTTCAAGAACCTTTTTAATTGCTCAAAACTATGTGCTTTCACAGAGTTATAAAAATGTAAATCACCATCAATGATTTTTTTCTAATGATTGATTTGCATGTAGAGATAATATTGCTTTTCCAGCCATTGTTGATCAAAACAGTACGAAACTTTTGAATTGGCGCTATTTGAACATGGTGGCTGCGCTTGCGCTCATCACATGATGAAAAGGCCTATTATATAAGAATTTGTGGGTTTTAATTTATTCTATTGGCAGCACTTAATTACTGAGTTTGATGCACTTGATGTGAAACTAAACTTTTCATAAAATTTTTATGTGATGTATACATATAGGATAGCGAAGTCTGTCGAGGTATTTTCTTTGAAACCAATGAATGTATAAATATCAAATTGTAGGGTAATGAATGAGATTGAATTCTGCATGTTTAAAAGGACATGTCAAATTTATGTGACGTCAGCGTTTAGCGTACAGCCGACATCTTGATTTTTCTCTTTTTAAAAATACCAAAAATATACCACATTACTAAAAATATGTTGTTGCAAGACATAGGATCAGAAAAAAAACAATAATAATGTAATACATTCCTATTTATCAACTACAATTAAATAATTATACATATACAAGATGTTTTCAAAGAAAATACCTTGTTGCCAGACTTTTTCAAACGAAGAATATCAAAATGAAAAAGATCCTCCATTCTCATATTTGACGAGACGTATTGGACACGACCCAAAAATACTCAAAATCTTGACCATAGTAAATTTATTAATACAGTCTGAGATACGATATAAGAAATACCTATATATCCTCATCTGTTATTTGATGATGACAAAGATTATAAATTAGATATTATGTACGTTGATAAATCGCAAATGGGTTGCCTAGCTTTCATTAACTTTTTTTGATCAACTTCCCCGATTTGTTATTAATAAAAATCAAGCATTAGTCCAGAGAATATTAACGAGGAATTAGAAAAATATAGGTTGCCTACTTTACTTTTAGTACAACTATGAAGTTATCAGGTACAAACGGATAAACAGGTATTAATCATCTACCCACATCAATTACTTAATTGATTTTTTTATTAAATTAAAGGTTACTTTATTCCCCATCCAACAATATTAGGTTGCCTTGTCAAAAGTGTGTCACATCCATGGTTGTCTAGATTTTAAATGTTTATTATTCGTTTTCTGCTCGCTCTAAGGCGATCTCTTTCTAGTTTTACATGCACTACAGCGTAAAGTGTTCAATAGCCAATACTGTATATATATTAATGTGCGTATGACTACATAAACTGCCTGCCCTGGCGTCGTCTAATGAATATAAGGAATGGTGACTGGTTTGGTATTGATTTTGAAAATAAAACATTTAAGAAATGTGTTGAAGTGGATATTTTAAATTTTTTTTGTCAATAATTTAAAATAAAATAAAAAAATCATATAACATAGAAAACATTTTATTGATTATATGTATAACTGAAAAGAAAAACCATTTAATTAAATATTACAGGAAAATTAAAAAATTTGAAAAAGTAACAACAAAAAGCATTTCGCACTTTACAAAATTCCTATAAAAAAATTAATATCTTGTTGGTCCTCCCCTGGCTCGTCTTAGTGCTGTCATTCTATTAGGCATGCGCTCTATTAAATTATTGATAAATTGCTGAATGGTTTCCCAAATTGCCTGCAACTCATTACCCAACTGTTATAAGGTTTGGGGACGCTGTTGACTTTGGTTTAATCGCCTAGACATTTCAGCCCAAACATGCTCGATACAATTCATATCTGGTGAACAGGGTAGCCAATTCATTCTTGTAATTCCATGATGTTTTATGCGATCGTTTACAATTCTCGCACGATAAGGACGAGCATTATCGTCAATAAAAATCGTTCACCTATTGCACCAAAAATTGGTACAATTATCGGCTGTCCCGATATCGTGTGGCAGTCATTGTCTCATTAGTTAAGACCACTAAATCAGCGCGACCATTATAACATATGCTTGCCCAGACGCACTGATCCACCACCAAAAAGAGTTGTTGGGGCCATTAAATTTTCATTGTATCTCTGTCCTCTTTCTCGCCATATCAATATTCGGCCATCACACGTATACAAACGAAATCTGGACTCGTCGGTAAAGAGGCAGTGCCTCCAATTTTGAAAAGTCCAAAAACTGTGTTCTTCCGCCTACCGATATCGGTATGCACGCTGCTCCGCCGTCAGTCTTGGGGGTGTTGCGCGACGTCTAGCTCTTAAGTTACATGTATGCAACCTTCTTCTGATAGTTTGACCAGAAATTACTCGTCCAGTAGCTTGTCTAAAGAAGGTATTAATTCTTGAAGCCATAAATGTTCGGTTTCTTCTCGCAGTCAGGACTATAAAGCGGTATTGAGCATAAGTTGTAGCTCGTTCTCGTCCTCCCCCATGTATGTACGCTGCATACTCAGTTGCTTGATACCGATTCCAAGCATGACTTACGACACTCTGAGACACATTCAGCCGCGTGGCGACTTCTTCTTGGGACAAACCTTCCTCTATCCAACGCACTATATAATTGATGCAGTTGCACTGCCTCTAATCGTCGTAGGGCATATTCTTTACTCGAATACACAAAATTATTAATAAAAGTAACAGAACAAAGTAAGAACAAGCTCTTCTGCACAACTGATACTTTACGATTTTTAAACAACCTTCCTGCAATTTTCGTGAAAGAGATAAGAGCATTGACAACGATCAATAAACATGCAAAAAATAATCGCTGTGAATAGGGTTTATTGATAATACAATTTTTTTTTTAATTATGTTTACGTATAAATTTCAGGATTTTAGCAATTATCCAGTTCAATTGTTGAGCAGTGTATTTACCAGTTATGTAAATGTAATGTGTTCCGTTTAGTGCAAATAAAAGCGCAAATTTGGGAAAGTGTTTGTTTTATTATATGGAAGCTTGAAGCGCCGTCCTTCCTGCAAGTAAGCTCAATAGATTTACTACCTCACCTAGAAGGTCAATATTTAGCAGAGATATGTTAATGTGACGCAGAGCCGTCTCTGTACTTTGTTTACTCCTTGCCCGCGGTATGAAGTCTAGCGCTGGCCATATAGAGACAAACGCACTGCTTCGAGAAGCTGTCGGAGTGATCCCGTTGCGGCGTATGAGTCATAGAGAGGCAGTTATCGATCGTTCTGGAAAGCCGAGAGTGTTTTGGTACAGAGCTGGCTTTATATAAATAGCGCGAGTATATCGACCGACAAGAAGATTCAATTTAATTGTTGGACAGAAAAGATAAATTGTAATAAATAAATTAGAGTTATAATAGTGCCTAAGTATTATAAAAATTAATGATTACGTTATAAATAAATTGTAAATAAAGTGTGTTAAATAAATAAACAATAAATAAATTAAACAAACGTTGCATTGGTGTCGGAAGTGGGATTTTAAATAAATAGTGTACAAAATATGGTAAAAAAAACTGTGTAATTTAAAAGTCGAGAGTTAGAAGAACGTGAATTGGAGACAGAGAAAAAATCAGAGCTGGCAGAACGACTTAAAAAAGCACTAGAAAATAAAGGTTTGGATTCGAAAACGTATTTGTTTCCGAATGATGCGTCTTCTATAATTTCTTCAATTTTTTGATATGAAAAACGATATGTCCTCTTTAAAAACCGATAATTTTTCTGAATATTCCTCTATTACAAATGATATTTCCTCCTTAAAAACTTTCTTCTGACATTACTTCTTTAGAAAATAAACTTACGTCTGATATTTCTTTCTTAGAAGAAAAGGTATCTTCTGATATGTCTTTCGTGAAAAACAAAATTTCTTCTTTAGAAACTAAAGTTTCTCCTGATATCTCTTCTTTAAAAGATGACTTGGAAAACAAAATGTCTTCTCTGAAAAATGAAATTTCTGCTGATGTGGAAAATAAGATGACTCCCGTTGAGGAGAAAATAAAAGAGATGGAAAAGAAGATAGAAAAACTGGAATATAAAGAACAGTCCAAGGACAGTGAAATAAAGTGTCATGAGAAGGAGTCGAAGTTGAAATTGGAAGGAGGACGGAAAGATATCATGGACCAACTACCTTATTCAGTTCGAAACAGCTGCCAGAGCAAACTAATGATCTGAACGAGAGAAGGCAGTACATTTGACCATCGCCCTTCGAGGAGATGTTCTTCAGACAATACTTGTGGAAGAGACGGATGATTTTAAATAACTTAAAAAGAGACTAAACATGCGATTAGACCACGAACACTTGAAGCATTTATACCAGTCACAATTAAACAGAAACTGAAACGAGACGAGACCCTTCAAGAATATGAAGTTGATATTGCCAGGTTGGTGCAATTTATCTACCCATCAGCTCCGAAAAACATGATGGAATGTTTGGGAGTCCAAACATTTGTTGATGGACTTATTGACCACGAGATGCAGAAAACACTCCGTTTAGCCCGTCACAAAACATTGGTCGATGTCTTGTCCACTGTTTTAGAGTATAAAGCAGCTACGCATACTTCTGGTGGATATAGTAAAGTAAGGACTGTAAAAGAAGAAGAAGAAGGGGAAGATAAACTCGACCAATTGGTTAACATGATGATAAAAATATAAAGACAAAGACCATCAGGTGCTGGAATTGCGGTGAACTGGGACATGTACGCAGTTCGTGCAAAAGCCCTAGGGTCCCAACAACTAAAGACAACACGCCGCAGAAAAAATAGAGCGGGTCGGCCTAGAGAGGGCAGCTTCGACCCGAAACCGTTCCAAAGACCCTCTCATACTGATAGCCTCTTTGAAATGTCGCGATGATAGTGTATACGTAGATGGCGAAGTAAATGGTAAAAAGTATATACTGTTGGTGGATACTGGAGCAACTAGGACCATTACAGGACCAACAACTATAAATAACCGTGAGAGACTTCTACCAATAAGATTGCGACTGCGGACTGCCCCACAGGTGAAAGTACCAACATCCATGGGGAATCAAGTACAGAAAAGTTCACTCATACTGTTATTCTCGCTGACATCGAAGAAGATGTTATTATTGGAATGGATGTAATGAACTTACATGGTTTTCAGTTAGACTTTAAAAACAGATGATCGAGCGATCAAAGTTGGTGCCGAAGAGGTATTCCTATATCCATATGGGGACAGTACCGTGCCAGTTGCTGTACAGGAAGATACGGTGGTACCTGGCAGAAGTGAAACCATTATAGTAGCACGGCTTCAAGAAACTATAGAAGAAGGAACACCTGTAATGATGGAACCTTGGAACCACGATGAAGAGGTTGGACGAAGAATTCTGATCGGAAAGGGGTTGGTCACGACTGCTAAAGAGATAGGATTATCACTTTAACCACGGTTCCGACAATGACCTTTCCCATTTTTCCCACTCTGCTTTTTTACCATAGCAACCCTTAGGTTCTACTTTCTTAAATTATGAACCTGAAAGGTCAAAACTAATAGCGTTACAAAATTTATAATAATAAATTTACTGTGACCAAGACTGGATATTTTTTGGTTGTATCGAAAAATATCAACTTAATTTCGAGTTTTGCACACGCGATTTTCTTGTTAACTTTACGTCACTTCACAATCAATTTTTAATCTAATGTCGCCATATATCTAGTTATCTAAATCCATTTAAAGCCAAAAGGTATTTTATAAAATTTTAACTTTCAGTAATATTCAGTCTCCCTTGCTGAAATATGCGGCTTTAATTTTTTCGGATTCAGGCGAAAATTCTGTTCTTCCGCCACCTAATGCAATGGGAGATTACAGAACAAATGCCAATACCGGAATTACTGAAGTTACAACCGTAACCCAAGGTAAATTTTACACATTACTATTTAAAATAATAATAAAGTTTGTTTTCTGACCAAGAAGACTACAATTATCCACATTGGAAAATAGTTTACGGATTTGATTTAAAATTATTCATATTTTCCTAGGAGAAGAAGGTGTTGTAACAAGTAATAATAGTATTCAGCCAGAATGGAGATCAAACTATAAAGGAGATTATAAAGACAATGTTAATCCAATTAGCACAAAAGATCTTATTGCATGGTCCTTCCAAATTGCCAGAGGCATGGAATATCTTGCATCAAGAAAGGTAATCTGTTTATAAGTATATTTGAAATTTTATCTCACAAAAATTTCATAAAAATTAATTAAGCAAAATTAGGTTGAATTAAAACCAAAATACGACATTCTGGTTATAACAGCATCCTCTATGCCCTAGGGGATCACAATCTGCATACAAATTTTCATAATTTGTCTTGCAAAGATCGCATTATCAATGTTTATGACAGATTCCGAGCTCTTTAATTTGTAACTTCAAAAGACTATGTCACGGTTGCAATAACGCTTATTAAATATCTTAATATAATGATAAAGTGATAGAAATCCCCAAGTCCTCTGACAAAAGAGTATCGCATTTTTAGTTACAGATTACACGTGTCTTCTTATTTCAGTTGCGCTTTGTTGTTTCTTAGCAGGTAAACCTTTTTAAGGTGCGTTTACACGAATACACTTTGAAAAAATTCCGATTACGTTTTACATTTTGTCTACAAATACTAGAACAATTTACTTTCGTACTTTATAAATATAAATTTCCCAGCTGAACATTGGTTTTTAGCGTTTTTAGAGTTTTTAAAGGTAATCCAAAACAGGTGCAAATTCGATTCTTTCTTAAAAAATATATTATAACAAGGGACACAGAAAATATTTATTAGATAACTCATATAATTTTTTTTTAATTAATATAATTTTTGTCACAACTGAAGTCTGATTCAGATTCATCACTACTTGTTGTACCTACATTAATAATAATTAGTTCTAGATCAGAAACATCTAATTGTTTGTATTTTCCCAATCGGAAACAATTATGTTTTTAGTGTGTCTTACATAATTGTCCCACTGAGTATCGGTAACATTATTCAAAGCTTCTTATCATAGACCGTCAGATAATGACCGATTTAGGTGCCCCATTTTCGCATACAAGCCTCGAAGGGGGTTGAAAAGTACATCGATGTTGAGTAGAATAAAAGAAAATTTATGAGTGACTCTTGGGAATAACACATGGAAAATTATGTTGATAACTGTTACCTGACATAATAACATGTTATAATTAATCTACGACGTGCCAAAATTTAGTAACTTTTTGTTTCATCCATTTTAAATTTAAACAATAAAGAAAGAGAATGTACTTGGGGTATTTTCGATACTTTACCATAATTTTATTGAGAAATGAAAAGTTCATGACATTCAGACAGTTTTACGTTCTCAATCTGTCAAAGTTTATCGTGCCGATAAATTTCTTTGTGCTTGTTTTTATACAATTAAGTTATGTCTAATACCGGAATATAATATCTGGTATAATTTATGACCTATCTTTGTATCATTGATAAAACCACCTGCTTTGTATAGTATATACTAAATATCGTTTTCTAGGTGCTTCATGGAGATCTTGCCGCCAGAAATGTACTTTTAAGCGATGAAAATATCGTAAAAATATGTGATTTTGGATTAGCCAAAAATATGTATAAAAGCGATAATTACAAAAAACGTGGTGATGTAAGAATAATTTTGATTAATATTATTTCTATAAATTTTATTTAAATGTGTTTTTAGTGTCCTTTACCAGTAAAATGGATGGCAATAGAATCTATCAGAGATAGAGTATTTTCAACTCAAAGTGACGTGTGGTCATTTGGTATAGTATTATGGGAAATATTTTCTTTGGGGAGAACACCATATCCGGGAATGGAAGCAGACGAAAGGCTCTATCATAAGCTAGTAGATGGATACAGATTGGAGTCACCAGAATATTCCCCAAAAGAAATGTATGTATTTGTATTTCACCTTGAGTATATAATTCCTGTGTCAGGTCTTACTGTTTCATCCAATTGGGTTATTATCGCTATGTTATATTGCTTTGGAACCAACTTCTTTCAATACAAACTAATATTATATCAGTTAATCCTTGCCATATAGGTGTCAACCTTATTTTGAAACTCTTACTCATTCCTGTCTCAATCTATGGATAATTAAATTAAATTTTCATTGTTGTGCATTTCAAAAAAGATCCTCTATTCGTCCATATAATATTGTTCATATTGGTTTGAAATTAAAGTTGCTCATGTTCGCTATAGGCTAATTTTATTAGTTAATCATGATTCATAATTATTGTATATCAATTGGATTTTATATTGGTTGGGGAAAAAATTCTATTTCCAAATTTTTTTATTAATAATACTAAAGCTCGACATTAGCTACCAAACAAAAATTAAAAAAAGAAAATCTATCCACAAACAGAAGAAAAAATGGTACTTAACAATTTGTCTTTGCCTATTTATTTTGAGAATCCACATCGGATGCATCTGAGATGTAGTAAATCTTTGATCACGTGATTCAGTATACGTAAATGTAATGGGACAGATGTATCCGATGTGGATAAAAAAACGCTCGAGATGTAAAAAATGTATCCGATGTGGATTCTCAAACGCGGCAAATATATGTAGATTGTAGATATTAAACGTACCACGTATTTTATTGCATTGACCTTGAAAATTAAATGACCTATTTTTATATTTTTGATTTAGATATCAGATTATGACCGATTGTTGGTCTGTCAAACCTACTTTTAGGCCTTCATTTACCAAGTTAACGGAAAAAATTGGAACACTACTTGAAGATACATTAAGAAAGGTAAGTTTGATAATATTCTTTCCTTTTCTTGTTTTTTCTATCTTTAATCTATGCCCGTGAGATAAGAACTTCTTATCCCACTCGTTTTGCGTGAGATAAGAAGTTTACTAACGCACGCGTTTTTCTTATCTCACTGCTTTTCAATCAATCAAAAAAGTCAAAATGTTAAAATCTATTTAAATTTAATAACAAATTACTGTCACAATCTAAAGTAACAGTAACTATCTCGTTCTTCAATATCAGATGGCAAACTTTCCGAATCTAAAAAATGCAAAAATACGTTAAAAATTAATTATTTTTGACTTATTGTTTATGATAATATTATCGTTGCTAAGAAAACAAAACGTTGTTAGAACCGCCATCCAACATTTCGACGTGTCGCTAATCGACATATAGGCAGTGGTGGAGAACAATGACCCTAAATTAAGTATTAGACAAAAATTATAATTACCGTTCATTTTTACATTTAGAGGCGTACATAAAAATGTATACAATATACGTGTGATAACTACGGCAGCGTAGAAGGGCCACATTTTTTAATTTTTTTTTTATTTTTAAAATTCCGTGTTCGCACAGGGAAGAAAGTATTCAAACACGGAATTGCGTCTTCAAACACGGAATTCCTTCTTAGAACACGGAAATTTAAACTTCCGTATTCGAACACAGAATTTCCCTGTCCAAATAAAGAATTCCGTATTCAAACACGAAATTCCTTCTTTTAACTCGGAAATTTACAATTCCGTATTCGAACCAGGAATTCCTTGGTCGAACACGGAATTTTATTTTCGAACTCTAAATTTAAATGGCGTATTTGCAGGTTACTCATGGGTGACTTGGGGATCTTATGGAGGGGTGGGTAATTAGGGATTCTTTGAATATACTGATTTTTACTCATGCTGACTTTTTAAAAAAGGGCTAGCGTAAGTAGTAGACCAAAAGTCGCACCCTCTTTTTTCCCTGCATAATATTTTTACTTTACTTTTACGTTTAATACCATTTATAGCTATGGTACTAAACGCGATTAAACCCTTGATCTGGATTAAACGTGTACGGTGCATACGGGCGTTAGTCTCGTTATTGTCGCTCTTAGTTGTGTCTTTTTTTTTTCTCTGGGCTCGTCTGTCTCCGAATAACACTGAAGCCTATTGGCTTATTGTGTTTTACCCCATGTTAGTTCATAGCATCCACTCTGTCACCTTTGTACCTTGTACAAGTTTGTACAGATTCTTGGGTGAGTGGGTTCTATACGTTGTTGGATCAACCTGGGGATGTCCAAAAAGAGCCTATCTTTTGCGATCTAGAGCTTCACATTCGCACAGTATGTGTTTTTTTTGGCCGTTTCTGGTTTCTTGTGACATAGTCGGCACATTGTTGTGTCTTTAGCCACCACATCAAAGCTGTCTATATTCGGTCTTACGCTATATTATATGTTCAATATATCATACCCGGTTACAGTCTCCATTTTTTTAAAGGGGCGTCTTGCCATCACTAATGTTGCACGATAAACATTTTATCCTGCCTTCCTTCGACTCTGAGCTTGAAAATGGGTCGTTGCAATTAAGACGCGCAAACTCACTATTTTCTTTTTCCTCCAAACTTTTATAATCTGCTATTGGTAATTTCAGAACCATTTTTTACGTCTGTAGACTTTTAAAAAAGATCTTCTTACTGAGATATGTAAGGAAATGATGTTATCACCTCTTGGAGACACTGAGATCTTAGTGCTACAACTTGGTTGGGGAGAGTTGACACCCCATAAGTGTCGAGTAATTTTTCTTTTGTAATGCGACTACCTGGTTTTGTAGAACTAGCAAATAAGAAATAATGTCAGATTTTTAGATTGTGAGATAACATTCAAAATTATAGGTAATATATTAGATTGTGTAATAGTTTTAAAAATAGACATTAATTAGTCAGTAGATAAAAAAAAACTATAAACTTACCGTAAAAATTGAGTTTAGTACGCCCAAAAACATTTAAGGAAGTACAGTTCATCAAATTTCTAGAGGTGTTCGACGCCCAGACAGAGAACGCGCTACGTGTGACTAAGATAGCTATTGTACAGTCTGCTAAACAAGTTATTTTAAATAGTTTTTAATATTTTTAGGTAATTAAATTTTAAAAGTGTGGAATAGTTTAGGGATTAAATTGGTCTGATTGGACTTTCTTAGAACGTTTTTAAAAGCAGCTAAAGATAGTATGTAGAATTGAAAATAATTATTATGCCATAAAAAGTGTTTTGGAATTCCTTCAACCTTTTGAAATTGAGTCAGAAAATATAAATTTTATAGGATAGCGGAAAATACCTATAATTTTTTTGTAGGCCTTTGTAAATCGTAGAAATAGTTTATATTTTATTTCTACCTTATTAAGGAAAATGGTACCTATTATTAATAACGGTTGTTTCTGAAACATTACTAAAATTTTCGAAATTTTGTTTTTCTACAAAATAATAAACTATACTATTTAGAAAAAAATTTATTTCTCTTATAATTTTATAAAAAATAACAGGGGAATATTTACATTACTTGATCTATTAAACAAAACGATAAATTATCTCGACGAATGACACCATGTTCTAGTACGGAAGCTAGCTTTACATTTTTGTTGGTGGTTTCATGGGTTTCATATCAATTTTTTGTAATTGTAGTTTACACGTACATATACCTCTTAACACTTGTTTGCTTTATTAAAAAAGTGTGTTGTGATTTACGTCGAAATAAGTCAAAAACAACTTGAAACCCCATATAAAATCAAAAAGGAGAAACGGAAAAAAATTGAGCCTGTAAATGAACACAACTCAGAAACAAAAATAGCTATCTAATAATAAAAAAATAAAATTTGATTCTTGTGCAGCTTCATCTATATCATTAACTGTTTTTGGTTTTTTAATGGTTTTTCTTGGTGATGAAAATTCCGATATCTCACGGTTATCGATTCTTTTTTTCTCTCCAGAAATGCGGACGACAGTGTTTTTAGATACTCCTGTGGCTGCAGCAACACGATCATTTACATTTTTAAATGGTATTGAAGGTGAATTAAAGTTTCCTTCTCTTCTCATAAACTCTATAACATTGGCTATTATTTCGCGAGATTGACTGTTAATCACGCGGCCTCTTAATTTGCTATTAAACTCCATACTTAGGTTCTATTAAACTGTAATGAGCAAAAAACACAAACGAAAATAAAAGAAATGTTTTAGCGAAATTTACATCTGACATTTACGTCTGTATGAAATAGTGAAATACTTGATGCGCAGAGTGTACTTTCATTGCGTAAATCCGTCGGGATGCCTGTCAGTAGTGCTTTCTCTGTCTAGCCGTCGAAAGCCTCTAGAAATTTGATGAACTGTATCTACTGCTACCGCACATGTCACATAATCATTGTAGAAATGAATACACACGTCTGTTGGTTGGTTATGGACTTTAATTCTAGCATTGTAGGATAGATGGATTTATCAACCTACCCGGTTTTGTCCGACTCTCCCCTACTAGTTGTTTATGTTCTATTGAATTTTTTAGTCGTATATAATTTTACGAAGTTAGATTCCTAAGTGCATCGATTGCTGTTGTCAGAGCTTCTGACTATATAGCTTTTTTAATAGTTGTAGCCGCACAAAGTTTTGCTCTTCCACATTGACGGGACGACCGTCGGCTATCCAGTTTGAATATGCTAGCATGCCTATATGAATTAAAATACGAAGTGACACTATTTTTAAACAATCAAAATAATATTCAAGGTTTCATAGCTAAATTGCAGTTATAGACGTTTGGAAACATGAGGTCATTTCCGCGACTAAATAAAGGACTAAAAAAGTAAGGATCAATACGTTTCAAAACAATGTCCGGAGCCTTTTGGTCCTTGGAAAAAAAGTTCTTCAGATATTATGCAGATGTTGATCCAGAATCCCCATCCTGCAAACTGACCGAAACTCATTAGCGAAATCTTTTTGGACCATAAGACCGATTCAACAGCAAAGGTTGATATCCAGCTTCTTACGAAAGAAAAGATTGTAGAACGTTTTTGTTATTCTTGAGTTTTAGGCGTTTTTTTAAATAAAACTAGTTTATTAACTATGAAATGTAAAGCTTCCTTAGCTTGTCTGTGCCTTCTTCAATACTAGTTTATCTAATGAATCATTAAGCATTATTATGTTTATTTTTTACTGCATTGTGTAATTATTTAGAATTTGCTTTTTATATGTAAATATTTTAACAGTATTTATCTCAGTGCATGGAAAAGGGCATGTATCAGTATATACAGTTGTTCAGTATATCAGGGCAAGAAAATTCCCGTTGTATTTTTTGTTTTTATCGTACAAGCATGAAAATAGCCGAGTTAACAGTTTCTACAACGCTTGTTTAATTTTGTTTTAGATTGTTAGAAGTTTAAATGAGTAGGTGCCAGTATTAAGAATTGGTTCTTTGTTATAGGGGAAGGTGACTCAAAATAATTCCTGCGGGCAAAACAATCCCACTTTGTTATTTTAAATAGGCTATTTTTGATTTTAACACATAATTATCATCAGCTGAACTGCTACTTCCATTTGTTTACAAACAGGCAGCTTTGACACATCGAGTTAAAAAATTATCGTATCATCTAAGATGGGTGTATTACAATTGTGATAAAAAGTATTCTTAAGATAATAAGAATTATTTAAAATAGGTACTCGTTACTTGATTTTTTCACGAGTACTCTCTAAATTTTGAAAAAGTACTCATTTGCTTGGAGTACTATTCATATAAGTACTCATACCCAGATACTTATAAAAACTTTGTAAAGCTATTTATTGTGAAGTACTCATGAATACTTTAACCAAGTACTCAGCTCTGATTGCATGATTAAAGCACAACGATTGGACAATCTAAAAATAATTTAGTAAATTCTTCATCTCTTTTGTAAAACATCTTGCAATTATTATAGTCATATTGGGCCACCTTCCTCTACACTGATTTACACAAGTTTGGTGTAATATTCTTTCAAATGAGCATATATATTATTTTACAGCATTACATCGATTTAAATGATCCCTATCTTGCCATGAATACAAAGATGTTAGACAAAAACGACTATCTCGCTATGTTGAGCCCTCCTACATTTGAAGCAGTTTTAAGTCCTCATTACGTCAACGGTATGGTGACGCCTCAGTCGTCCGAAGGATATATGAGCATGAATTCGAGTACGATATTTAGTCCACGTATCGCAAATGGTAAGTTAATTATATGTAAATAATAGAAACTACTTATTGTACTTATTACAAAATTCTAAACCAGACAGCAATAGAATTTTAATAGGATGTCCCATAATTAATGTCATAGAAGTAGAAAAACGCCAAATTTAAAGAACCAAGGACGCGCATTTATAATGCTATGAACACGCCTACCGATGAATAGAATTGGTAGCTTACCTAGAAAGTTGTAAACCAGGGGCGCGTATATTTTAAGACATAAAATAAATGGAAAATAGTGAATAATGCTTGTTCATACATATTGCTTAGTGTTATTATTAGTACATATTAGTATATAGTCAATTAAAAAATCATTATTTTTAGGTAAGCCGACTTAAGGTTAAGGAGAGCTCTGGTGGTCTAGTATTTTGTATTTTAACTAACATTAATTTTATTATAAACAAAATATGAAATAATATGTGTATGAAGTAATATATCCTTCCGATTTTTTATACCGGATCTTCATTTCAAAACTGGATAGTCCAAATAACTTCTGATTTTACGTAAATTTAAGAAAAATAAAAACATGTTTAATTTTATATTATGTATCCTATAAGTAAATACAAACAACGTAAACAGTAAATCACAAATAAATAATGTTCATATGTCTTCGTCAGATTCTTCGTTGAAAGAAGACTCGTCACTGGAATCCTCATTAGGATTAATGACGATAGGATTAATTTCCGAACATATATCAGTTTGTATTTCTCTTTCAAAATATTTGTCTTCTACCTTTATTTCATGATCGCATTGCTTTTTCCATTCCTCCATGCCGATTTTGTTAAATTCTTCTTCTGCTAATTGTTTTACGTCTTCTAATTTACAGGTAACATTCCTTTGACTGACATTATTCTTAACCCAAATCAATTCGATAGGGTTCAAGTCGGGGTGATATGGAGGTAACATTAAAGCGGTGTGGTCGTATTCTCGACACAACTCATCAAATGCATATGTTACATGTCGGTCCTTATGAGATTTAATAAGTTCATATAACTCTGGTTTCAAACTTGTTGGATTAAAAGGTATCTTGTATTTTGTCAACCATTCGATCATATCATTCTTCAAAGAATTGGAATTAGGTGCTCGATTTGTCTGTACATTGTGATAACAATTACTGAATTAGGTGGAAGATTAGGTATTAACTTCTCTCTTAACCATTTGCGGTAATTTTCCGAATTCATTTCGGAATGATATTCTCCAGACTTGGTCCCTGATTTGAATATCAACAAACTATTTATGATAAAACCCATTTCTCCCCCACCGTGAACTATAATAAGCCTTTGGCCTTTAGAAATAACAGAAAACAAACCTTTTGTTGAATCGTCTGTCCAATTCTTGGAATAAGTATGTCCGCTGTATATATATGTTTCATCTAAATAAACGATTGGTCTATTTTGACTTCTAAAATATTTTATCTGTCTCAAATATTTTACTCTTAAAGTTCTTATTTTCATTTTTTTCACCAAAACTTCACGATTATTTTGTGTTTTTCTCCACTTAAATTGTAATTTTTTAAGGACTCTTCTTAATGAAGTTTCTGATATGTGGATATCTAAATCTTCCTTAATTTTATTATTTAACCTTTTAACATTAACACGAGACTTTTCTTATATATGAAAATCGTAAATTATTCTTCGAATGTCCCTGAATTGATATTCAGGGACATAGCGGTTGATTTTCTGACGAAGTTTTTCCTAGGTGTGGAAAATGTAATTTTTCCAGTTGTTTCCATTTACTATTTACCTTCCTTCAAAATTCTTTTAACGGTAGTATAAGAAACACCTGTAAAAACGTAATATTATATTTATGTTAAATTTAGTATTTTTTACATTTATTAGGAAACAAAAATTTTTAGAAATAGAAGATAAATTTAAAAAAATTAAATATTAATCAAAAATAAAATGCATAGATATGTGTGTAAAATACAAAAAAATATGGAAAACTACGCAAGTTTAATTGCAAATAAACTACAGAATATGTTTACCTGTTACTTGTGCAGTTTGAAGTTTGATATAATCTAAAATAACTCCTTCCTTTTTTGTTGCGTCAAAATATTTAAAAACATTGTATATTACTTCACGATTTTGTCCGTTAATAACAGATCTGCGCTGTTTTTCACCCACAATAGAAGACATTATCAAAAATAAAACCAGTCACTTTAACCAAAACACAGAAACAAGAAACAAACAATGATCTAGTCGTTACGCTACTGACCGTAAGCAAGGACAAGGTTCAAATTGTGAACGGGCGTGGCGATTTTTAAGTAAACGAACTTGAGCATTTGCGCTGGTTCTTTAGATTTGGCGTTTACTGTATCACTATTTAATCGGTGCTTAGTAATTTATTAACTTTATAATTATGTATAAGTTAGTTAAAACCATCTATTTGATGTAGATATTGTCATATAGTTTCTTGAAGTTTATACTACTCATCTTTCAACCTGTAGATTCAGCTACATCTGGAAATAACTGTTTGTAATAATGATACATTGCAATCTAAACATATATAGAAGATTGGAACGTCTTTTCATCGGAAAATACCACGTTGTTCCAAAATTCTCTGACGAACGACTAAGATTCAAAGTTTTTTTTAATAGAACAACATATTTTTCGCTTTATTTTTGAATAGTCCAAAGTTTCTAAATAGAAACAAATGCTATGTCAGAAATTTTGAATCCAAAATTTTATTGACTCATAAACAAAGTAGGTTTTTATTCGAATGTCATTCTTTAATAAAAATTTAAAACTTATAAGTCCGGTGTCCTTTAAATAAAATTTTAGATTCAAAATTTCTGATATAACATTTGTCTTTAATTCACAAACCAATTACTTTGGTCTATAAATATTACATACATTTTTGTAATAGTCTATTATTGGGAAATTCAAAACTGGAAAAATTGTTCTTTAAAAAAAATCGATAACGTCATGTACACGAAAGTGGTGACATCATTAAATTGTAGCGTAAGATGTACAGTTTAAAATAAAAATTGACCTGTAAAAGTATTTTGTTAAAAAACAGTTATACAGAAAAAAATATTGAATTTAGTCCTAACGTCCTCGCTCTATATGTGAAATATATTGTCAAATACTCATTTTTTTTTAGATGAAGTTTTTGATTTTACTACTGCAAGTAGAAGGAAATTATCAAGCGAAGATGGGAATGGTCATGAACTCCTACCAATGTTGAAAGATAAGAACGACCTGGATATCAGTTCGCCTCTAGCATCACCAAATGCGGTTTCTAATCCGGGTTACCATTTACCTCCTATAATAGGAACTGATGAAGATAACAATACCGAAATTGTCAAATCTGCCGATAATTATGTAAACATGCCACAAAATAAAAATTTGCTCAAGGAATGTAAAACAATTTTATCTTCAGACTCGAAGAAAGCAGAGGATGAAAATAGACTAGACTGGAAAAGTATTCAAGTCTGAAACACATCTTAATTAGTACAAGTTAGAAAATTAAGTTTTTAGGTAAGTTTAATTCTATAAATCATGTCTGTCGTAACTGTATTAATAATTTGCCATGCGTTACCGTTTCGATGATGGTGCGTGGTGATTTCCGGGTTTTCCGTCACCTGTAACTCAAATGGAAACATCAATAATAATAGTAACCGTCTTGTAGAAAATATATTATTTACGTGCGCCTATGTATTATTTTTTATTTTATGTAGTCACACTTCTGTGATGTAGTAGTTTATGAATGTCACTTGATAATTTTTTGAATGTTCATGTAAATTACAATTTTGTAACATATTTAAAGTTTAATCGTAGTTAAACTTATTATTTCCCTTGGAGTTATTATTTTACATTGGTCGTTCGTGTTAATTCGAACGCGCTATGGAAAACAGGACATCAGTCTCTGAAGGAGTCCGTAGGAGAAGAAGGAAAAATTTTGGAGTCGCTCCAGAAAGATATCCAGATGCGATACTACCTGATGGACCTCTAAGACTAGTGTACGTGCTGCTATGTCACATAATTCACCAGAAGAGAATAGGTATCATTCTGAGGATAATCTGGTAGCAAATTTCTCTTCTCGATTAGATGTTCAGGACAACCGTTCTGTTGAAAATGTCATTTAAAAAAGTAAATCTCGTTCCCATCGCTCAAATCATTCTCAACTAGCTACATTGAGATTCGACTCGGAGCTCATTCAACAACGTGAAAAGTTGGAGGAAGAAGGAGTTCAAGAAAGAATGAAAGCTTTTGAAGCGCAAGAAAAACTAAATGCTATTAGTAGAAAAAACGAAATTTTAAAACAAAAGATTGATGCTCAAAATTTTAGAACTTGAAAATTGTGCTAGTGTTTTCTCATTATCTCGCCATACCAGTCGCACAAATAGTTTCTATGGCGGAGAAGAAACAAAGAAGCGGATAGAAGATGGAAAAAATATATCTGAAATTGTATAAAGATCAACCTCTTAATTGTTGTCAAGAGGTTCCTAACACAGATAACTTTTTCAATTATCAGCTAACTAATAATAATTTAAACAACTCTCTTTCTGTTCAAATTGATAAAAACACCGACCAAATCTACTTTTAAATATTGCAAAGCAGTGTATTGAGAATACTGCAAACACAAATAAATTCCTATTTAGTGGAAGGTTCAGAGATTTGGCACATTTTTCTGGAGAACTAAGTAAATTGCCACTCTTTATTAGTGATGCAGAAAATCTAATTCGATTAGATAGATCTCTTCGGGGAAAAGCTAGAGAAACAGTTCCAGCTTTATTAACTTCTCCCAATAATATTCTCAAAATCATCAGAATGCTGGAAATGAATTTTGGAAGGACCGAATGGATAATTATGTCACTAATAGATAAAGAGAGAAAATTTGCGCCAGTGAAGGAAGATCGATTAGAAACCTTCATTTCTTAATCTAATGCATAAATAATATGGTGACTACAATGGAAAATATCAATGGTTCCTCCTATTTAAATAATCCAGAACTTATATCCACACTCTTGGAAAATTTTCCTGTAATTCAAAAATATAATTGGGCAAAGTATAGACGGCAACTGGAACTTCAGAATCTGCAGATTGCCCTAAAAGACTTTGCAATTTGGCTGGAAGAACAAGCTGACCTTATGTCTTGCATTAAAAATCCTTTCGACAGAAATAAGACTAGTTTTAAGAAAAAAAATGTTTTAGTATCTGAAAAAAGGCATGCTAGGTCGGCATATACCTACATACGCTACAGGATGTAATTTCTGCAAAGATAACAAACATAACATACAAGAATGCGGTATTTTTCTAGAGAAACTCATCGAACAAAGACGAGATGTCGTTTCGGCTCTGAAATTGTGTTTCCTTTATTTAAAAGCTGGCCACGTGTAGCACAAAAATGTTTTCGAAAAAAAAAGATGCGGTGAAAACGGATGCAAAGGTAAACATGATAAACTTCTCCAGAAAAACTTCTTAGAAAAAAAATTTAAACAAAAACCTGAAGAACAACCTTCTCCCAAATTCAAATTTTGTGGCAATCTAAATAAAGAAGACAATAAAACCGCCTTACTAAGAATTGCTCTAGTCAAAATTCGTGGACCAACAGCAGAAATTAGAACCTTTGCTCTTTTCGATAAAGGTTCCACTTGTTCTATGATAGATGAAGATATTGCATAAAGTATAGGCTCAGCCGGACCTACACTTCCTTTGTGCTTCCAGTGGACTAATGGTACAGTTAATTTTTGAAGATAACTCTAAGCTAGTCACTTTAGATATATCATCTGCAAGTCTAAATCCAAACTATTACAAGATGAATGGAGTAAGAACTGTGAAGACTTTAAAACTTCCAACACAAAGTATTAACGTTGAAGAACTGTATCATAAGTTTCCTTTCCTCGATTCTACCATTTTAAAGTCCATAAAGAGCGCTATTTCCCAGATATTGATTGGACAAGATAATTACGGCCTTATTGTCCCTAGACAGATTATTCAACCAGATTTGCACGCTTCTGTAATGAGTAAATCTAGACTAAGATGGACCATAAGTGGTTCTGTCAATTTTAATAAAGAAAATCCTAGACACATTAACCTTTGTTGCCAGCCAGCATTTACAAGATCTTCACATTCTTGTTAAAGATAGCTTTAAACTTGAGTCTTTCGGTTTAAAACCTGAATCTATAGTTAAATCTGTCAAAGATCGGAAAGCAGTGGACATCATGGAGAAAACGTTAACTAGAATTGGCGATCGTTTTGAAATAGGCCATTTATGGAAAGATGAAAACACTATTTTACCGGATAGTTTTCCCAACGCCTTTAATGGTCTACTTTGCATGGAGAGGAAGATAAACAAAGATCCTGAAATTGCACTACAGTACTGTCCGAAAATAAAAGACTATATGACTAAGAAGTATGCAATCAAGTCAAGCCCATCAGAAGCTGCTGTTACTCCGAAGAAGACCTGGTACCTTCCTCATTTTGCGGTTTGGCACGCTAAGAAAAAGGATACTATTTGTCTTGTCTTCGATGCTGCTTGTCGTTCAGAGGCTAAACTAAATTATTTTTTGTTGCAATGTCCTGATTATGTGCCTTCCTTGGTAAGAGTCCTCTGGTGTTTTAGACAAGGGAGAATAGCATTTAGCGGAGATGTGAAAGAGATGTTCCACCAGGTAGTAATTCGCCAGGAGGACAGATATGCACAGCGTCTTTTGTGGAGGGGTATGGAGAGAAATCGTGATCCTGATGTGTATCAAATGGATGTTTTATTCTTCGGCGCTGTTTCTTCTCCTTCTATTGCTCAGTTTGTTAAGAATAAAAACGCTTCTGAATTTAAAAAGGATTTTCCAGGTATTACTAGGTGTATGGAGAGGCAACACTACGTTGACGATTATCTCGATTCTTGTTTTGATGAAGAAGCGGCTATAAAAAGGGTTGCTTATGTCATTTTTGTCCATAATAAGGCTGGATTTCAAATGGTCAAATGGATAACCAATTCTGAGAAAGTTTTAAGATCAATTTCTAGGATTAAGATCTCAAAGTCAAATGAAAATTGATTCAGAAAAAGTTGAAAGAGTGATTGGACTGTTGGTTTCCTAAATGTGATGAATTTATTTTATCTTTAAATTGTGAAAAAATTCCTTCCGAAACAACTAAAATGGAAATTATTCGATTTATTATGTCAACATTTGACCCTTTAGGTTTTTTAGCTCCAATAATAATTCAGGCACGCATTCTAATGCAAGAAGTATGGAAAATGTCTATAGATTGGGATACATCAATTCCTGGTGATATTTTCATTAAATGGCAAAAATGGTTGGTAGATCTCCAAGAAGCATTGCCTGTTAAGATCCCTATATACTATTTCCCGTCTTTTTCTTATATTTCTGAGGTTAGTCTTCATTTACTTTCCGACGCTAGTGAAAAAGCATATTCCTCTGTAGGTTACATTATTTCTGGTTCCCCAGAAAATAAATGTGTTTCTTTCATTAGCTCAAAATTCAAAGTTGCTCCCCTAAAACAACAAACTATCCCAAAGCTAGAAATTCAAGGTGCTGTTTTAAGTTGCAGGTTGTAATGAAATCGAATACAAAATCTACCAAGTGTTTTACTGGACGGATTCCATGATTGTTTTAAAACAAATTAGGTCTTAGTCGCGACGATTTCCAAGCTTTGTTGCATGTAGGATAGGGGAAGTACAAGAGGAAACAGATATCTCTCAATCCAAATGTCAGTTCTGCAAAATTAGAAACTGTAAACCTGTTACCCCAGAGATGGGTCTCCTGCCTTCCGTGAGATTAGAACAAAATGTGTTTCCTTTTACATATGTCGGCATTGATCTCTTTGGTCCAATGAATGTTTCTATAGGGCGTAGAACAGAAAAACGCTACGGTGTTCTTTTCATATGTCTTACCATAAGAGCGGTTCACACAGAATTAGTTGCGTCTTTAGAAACTAGTTCAACCATTATGGCCATTCGTCGTTTCTGTTGCAGAAGAGGACAGCCTAAGGAAATTTGGACAGATAACGGAACCAATTTTGTAGGCTCAGAAAAAGAGTTAAAGGGTTGGTTTGACTCATTGGATCACCAAAGGATCTCCGATAGTTTAAGCGTTCAAGGAACAATCTGGAAATTTAACTGTCATCTAGCTCCAAACATGGCTGGTGTGTGGGAGCGATTGATAAAGTTAGTAAAGAGATCTCTAAAGGTAACTCTTAATACTGTAAAACCAAAAGAAGAGGTTCTTCTAACTTTACTCCTTGAAGCTGAATATATTATCAACTCGCATCCCCTGACCCATATTTCAGTCGTCCTATTGACCCTCAAGCAATTACTTCTAATCATTTTTTATTGCTAAGACCTGATGGCGTAAGATCTGGCCCTAATAATCTAGTAACGAAGAAGCAGTGGATTTTCGCCCAAGCTCTAGCGGATCTATATTGGAAACGCTGGGTTCAAGAATATAGACCAAGTCTTATTAATCGCCAAAAATGGCATCAAAAGGATATACCCATTAAGACTTCTGATATAGTAGTTATCGTTGATGAAAAATCACCATGGAACGAATGGCTTCTAGGAAGAATCGAAGAAGTCTACCCTGGGAAAGACGGTGTAATTCGAGTTGCCAAGGTTGTCACCACGAAAGGTACTTGCACTAGGCCTGTATCAAAATTATGTGTCCTCCCAGTTTCTTAAACAAACGTAAGTGAAGATCCTTCACGGGGTGGACAATGTAGAAAATATATTATTTAAGTGCGTCTGGTGTATTATTTTATGTATTAATTTATGAATGTCACTTGATAATTTTTTGAATGTTCATGTCAATTACTATTTTGTAATATATTTCAAGTTTAATCGTAGTTAAACTTATTATTTCCCTTGGATTTATTATTTTACACGTCCCTTCCCCGGAAGAGCTCAGCTTCTGGAGTTAAAATTCACTAGTAAGGGGGTGAATTAGGAAGAGCATTATTATTATATTATTTTCAATTTTCTTTTTTATATTATTATATTTATTTATTTATTTATTTATTTCTGTTTTTATTTCAGGTTTAGACTGTATTACTTTACGTATGTATTTGAAACAAAAAAATAATTTATTTTGTATTTTTTTATTAATGTAAATATAGTGAAATAAATACTTTATGAAATAAAATGTTTTTGTTTAGTTCCTGGAAATACTGTACTATTTATATTGAATATACGAAAGTCTTGTTCAAAATAGAGGGTGAATCCAAAATTTATACTTTTTTAACTAAGTACATCTTTTTTAAATAACATTTTACAAAAAATCTAAAATTAAAATATCTAAATCCGGGTCTGGACTCTTTTTAAAATGTTTAGGCTAAATAATAAGACTGTTTACGTTTTTATGTTTATACCTTTTTTTTTTGTTTTTCTTATGAATCACTTTTCATTTTGTACCGGTTATTTTAATTCAGTTACGTGTGATTTCAGTAGCGTATTTATCTGAAGTAGTGAATTTAAATTGTAACACCTAAGCTATCATTTGGGAATGCGCGACAAAGGGACGAAATGCAGCATGCGGCAAATCCTACCGTACTTAAAGTGGTGTCGTCTGTGGCGCCTTCCCAAATGTGTTTCATATAATTACAAGTGTTCAGACGTGCGAAGAGACCGTTTTCGGTCTCCTTCGCTGTCGCTTTGCGTTTGAAGTCAGTCTCGCCTCCTTTCTAAATGGTAGCTTTTTGGTTATGTTGCTTATTTATGGCGAATCTCTTCAAAGTGGCAGCTGCTGCATCGGTGTCATACGTCAAAGGCTTTCCCTTGCGAGCCATCCTGATCCTAGAATTTTCATTAATCTGGCACATTATTTAAGTTAAACAGGATCCTATTGGATACATTTTGGAATAAATTAATGTAAGTTTCTCATTTTAAGCTCTTTTGAAAAGGTTGTTTATTTTAATGACTTCTGAACACAGTTAAAAAAGTATCAAATTATATATATAGTTTCTAAATATGAAACTTTTTACTTCAAAAATAGACCGGGAGTCAGCAAAAAAAAATAACAAACTTAATGGCTCTATATTTGAAAAGTAAATATGAAATTCCCCCAATTAATAGGGACACATGGGAAAGATAAATATGTCTGCCAATTTGCCGGAGTCGTTCGACGTGTACCCACTCACTATCAACAAGTATAACTATACTTTTCAATATTTAGCGATTAAAGTCATGGATTTACGTTTCGACTATACTGAACTATACTTGTCGGGGGCGTGACGTCACAGACTGATAAATCGAAGTTACAGAAAATATTCGGTTAAGGTTCGTATATTAGTTTTTTTTTTAAAAATCTAATATTTTATTATTATTCACTGGAAAGTAGTCCAAAAATAAAAATATACAGTTTTTATAATATCGGTAGTTTGATTTTTTGAAAGACAAGCTACAAAACAGCAAGGAAAAATTAATAATTATTTTTCATAAAATTTCAGTTGAAATATTTATTTGAATTATAAATAGAAATATTGTGTGAATGGTTTATTTTAAACATTTTGGATTAGGGTACGGCATCCAAGCCGAACTCGGACCTCATTTTGTTTATATCCTGAAATAATTTAAAATGTTCGCAATCACAATTTTACAAACAGAAATGATCAGAAGAGAGGATATCATTTTTTCCCTTTCTCAAAAAGAGACCATTTACAAAAAAATGTGGGTGCAATATGTTTTATAAAATATTAGATCAATATTAAAACTATGAATTTGTACAGTGTTTATTTTAATAAAGAGGATTTTATAGATGACATGCGGACGCGAATCATATAATAAAATTAGGTTGTTCTATTCGCTCAGTGCTACACTTTCGATGCAAAGGAAAAGACCTATTATTTGCCCAAATCGGCCAATTTTTCGGAACGTTTTTTAGGGGGCTATATCCTATCCAGTAAAATAATACAGATCAGTGTTCCAGATTGTAAAAAAGGATAAAAAGCAAATGTAAAACTAAAGAAAACACAAGAAGAAATCAATTCAATGTCTTTTTAAAGCATCTAATGTAAGTAAAATAATGTATTCATGTCTAAATATAATATTTATTGTAAACTAGTCACACTAGGTTCTTTCGTTCACTGTTGGTGCAGTGTCCACCAGTGTAAATTACACCAGTTACACCACCTTATTTTCCTTAATTTACTTCCTCCTTATTCCTTATACACATGTCGAGTGTAAATCATTCCTGCTAAATAGCTGGTGGAGAAAATTCCCACCAGTGTACACCACATCGCCGACAGGAAGGTATAGTGCACAAAGCATGTATCTTCTAGAGACCCCACGCCAATGTTAAACTTTTAAACCAAATTAGCGTCACCTTGTGTTTGGAGCTGGAACTAAAATGACAATTGACAAATGGCGGTAAATTCAAATTGTAATTTTTAGGAGTAGGTAGTAGTTCTAAATTAAATTTTAAAGGATTTCCACATAAATTATTTTATAAAATAAAGTATGGAACTAGTAAGTTCGAAACTTTTATTTTACAAAATAATTTAGGTCGATTATACCAAATTTGAAGAATTAATTTGTTATAAGGGGTCTAATGTGGAGAGTTGGTTCTGCATATTTTTATTAAATAAATATAAGATATATCAATAAATAATAAAATAGAACATTCTTAAAATATGTTTATTAATAACTTAAATAAATATTATTAGATAAAAATAAATACAAATAATAATACATATTTAACGAATACTTACTTGGAGCAAATAGATATATAATCTCAAATCTTTAAAATACCTATCAATAATTTAAATGTGAAGTAGAGACTAGGATATTACATTTTATTAACACTAAAGTTATATATTTTATAAATGTCTTTTTAACTGAAGAAAAATGTAATATAGGTATTGTATTAAAAGGTGAATCCTTTTAACTATTCATTCAATTCCTTCCAAATACAGATGGTGATACAGATTTCGGAATCTAGTCCAGTGATAAATTGATTATCAATTAGTTGTTGTCCCCGTTTGTATTTTTATGATGCAGATGCATGGTGAATCAATGAAGTTTTTCTCGAAGTTTTCAACGTAGCACCAAAATTATTGCAAAACACAGTAGGAAATAAAAAACCGAAACATCACAATTTTGCAAATAACTAAGACGAAACTATAAACAGAAACCAAAAGCCAAAGCCAACAAAAAATTACTAAAATCAGACGGAAAAATGAAACTAACCAAGAACATAAATAAATACACGTCACATCTTTGGAGTCTTTGGTTAGTTTTTCTCCCATAAGGCTTAAAAATGGAGTAAGAAATCATAATTTCACCAGTAGCCCCATCTAGAGTTTGGAGCAAATAGCATAAAAAATGTCAGTTGTCGGTTTTGACCTTGGTCATTCACGTGGAACCTCTATGTGCTTTGTGGTATAGTGGGTTTTACACCGGGCCAAACCAATGAACTGGAGGGGGTAGAATGCCAATGTACATGTTGTACTATTAGAACAAGGTGCGACTCGATGGGCGCAGCCATTTTTATTGTTCATCTCACTCGGGACTATTTATAATAACCATTTTCTGTTTCACATTGTTATTGTTCAATCCACAAGCTGGTGGATCAGACAATAACAATGTGAAATAGAAAATGGCTATATTAAGTACTCCCGAGTGAGATGAAAAATAACCTATCTTCGCACATCAAGTCTATTGACAAGCATTCTACCCCACTCCAGTTCATTGGGCCAAACGAAAGGTTTAGTGTACGTTGGTGTAGTTCATTCCTACACCAGTTGGACGAACGAAAGAACCTAATATGTATATCTTACGAAGTATAGTTTATTTTATTACAAGTTTCGATAATATAAAATTTAACAGTCATAGATGCTGACTTACAAACAACAATAATTATGCATTAAATTTAACTTACTAGAAAAGAAAATTTATTTTTTATAGATTCTTAATGTTAGATAAAGAGTTGCTACTGTTATTTTTTTTTTGGACCCCAATTGGGTCATTGTAAATGTTTTTTATAGGATACTAAACGTTTAGAACAGTGGCAGCATATATATCGTGCCTAGTGCCCATAAAGCACTTTCTAGAAATGATGCTGCTGTTTTATACTTTTTAGAAGATATTATCAAATATTATAAGACTATTTTTACTGATGGTACTGTTAGCAAAATAAAAAGGGGAAAACTAAAATTAAAGGATGTACCTGCACTTCCAAATCTCCCTTTATACTTGTATTACAATAATAAAAAATCTGTTAACTGTGTTTTATTTTGCTCTTATTATTACTATACAGAGGTTCAATTCAAAAAAATTGCCACAAAATTGTATTTATCACATTTCAGCATTTAATAAACCTTTTCGAATTTGGTCATAACTACCTAATTTGTATTTTATATAACAAATAATTTATCAATTAAAACATGCAAGACTTATTTAGCTTTATTTAGCTATAAACAAGTTTATTTTTATTATTTTGACAAAATTATGTTTAATTGCCACAAGAAGCCATGTATTTTGATCACCGTATGCAGTACCAGCGCCCATGCGGTTAATTATAGAAGCTCAATTAGCATGCGTTTTTTGAGACCGTATTTTGAGTGCCGATTCACCTCCTTATCTCTAGTCTTCATATTAGTGACCACGGGGGTTTATAGCATATGCGCATTTTGTCAACAAGTTACTGCGCATCGAAACTGGCGTACGTCCGTTTTACAATAACACAATTATATATAAAATATAAAGAAAACAGAATAATTACAAAATATTTCAATAAAAATGTGTTATTAACTTGCCAAAAGTAATAGTTTCACATTTTTTTAATTTATCAATCGTAAAATTGAAAAAATATGAATTTATTCAATTATTTGTACAATGTAAACCTGGCTTTGGATAACAAAACCCAAATCTCGTTAAAGCTCGAGTCGACTCGATAAACGAATCCCGAATGATACAAAATACAATATGGCTGTCGATGTAAACAATTCTGAGTTTTACTTTTATTTAATACAGTTTTAGGCATAAATTTAGTAATAATTTACTGAAAGTAAACTTATTTTGATACTTTTGCATGTCGTCCTATAAATGCATACATTTGATTGTAATAGTAAATTGTTCTGGCCCATTTACACTGTTTTAGAAGAAACATTTTCATTTTATTGTCAACTGAAAAAAGGATTATTAT